GGGGGGGGGGGAGGAGAACGGGAAAGAGGGGGCGGGGGGAGGGTGGGAGAGAGGAGGGGAGAGGGGGAGAAAGGGAGCGAGTAGGGCGGGGGCAACGCGGGGGAGAGGCGGGGCGGCTACAGCAGGGGGAGTAACGGGAGGTGGTTAGAGATAGGATCAGCAGCGAGGGGGAAGGGAGGAGGAGGGTCGGAGGCGGGGTGGGAGGCGGGGGGGGGGGGGGGGGAGGGGGGAATGGTAGGAGGGGCATGCATGCTCCCTACCCACCCACGCTCCTGCGTGAATCTGAACGCGCAAGGAAGCAGCTCTTGGGGGAAAGATCCGTTAGGAGAGTTTCTCTGTGATGCAGAGAGGCTGACCTCAACCCCCCTGTTGCTGCCATGCATGTTTACGAGCCAGACGGTGGGAAGGGCAGGGAGGGTGTGTGTGTGTCTGTGTGTGTGACTAGCATGTGTGTGTATGTGACTACCATGTGGGGGGGGGACTACTAGTGCGCTGTATCTGCGACTCCCTTTTTTCTGTGGCTTGCTGCAGGCGCGATTTGCCGCGTGGTGTCTCTCGTTCCAGAGTTTATCTTGACGAATGCCTTGAATATGCCCCTTTTCTTTCGCCAATACGGAACACAGGGACCGGCGTTTGAAGGTGTGGCTGCTTTCGTATGCACAGCCTGACTTGATGACACGCGTCTTACCGGTGCCTGTATCTTGAGGAAGACGGTGGAACCCTTCATTTCCCGCCTGGTGTCAGGCCGGCTGCATGCGGTGGCACTGTAGAGGCGTCTTTGGCGAAAGCGATACTTGCGCGATGTCTCTGCATGCGACTCTAGAGGCCTCCGCCTCCCTTGCTGAGCTCCTAAAGTCGCAGCTGCATGCACTTCCTTGTGGATTGGCAATCCATGCCTTGGGCGCGTTGCTACGGCGTGGCGTTGCTGTGCTGGGCTTGCGCGGCGCTGTGCAGCAGTACTTCGTGTGGACATGCGTGTTTCGACCTCTTTCCTGCGACTGTATGTATCTGCAGTGCACCCTAGCCAAAGCTACCCAGTGTACTGGGCAAGCTCTGAGCTCCCTCAGGCTATTCAATTTAGGCCTGGCATGGGGGAAGGCTATGCGTGGTCAGGGGCTGTGATTGCGAGCGAGGAAACTGCGGGGAAGAGTTGGATTGCGCTGTACAACGGCATGGGGGATGGCGCACCTGGTAAATGCGCACACAGCATCTGCGTTTCTCTCTCGCCGAGTTTTCTCTGCAAACTGCGACTTCGCATCGTCTCTCTCACGGCTGCTCTGGGGAGAGCAGAAGGAGGGGCATTCATGGCAGCACCACGACCACAAGCACGGGCTCTCAGGGAATGTGTCGGGGAGGCAGGCAGACACTCACGCACGCACTCAACTCGGAATCCCCTGTGAAGAGGCATCCATTTGCTTACCGCGCTATTGCTCTGACTGGCGCCGCCTGTCCAAGTTTGTTTGTTTCTTTTTCTTTTCTCTCTCTTTTGCACACACACCCGCTTTCTTTCTCCAGATTAAACGCCCATGTCAGTGGCCCTGTATGGAAGACGAAGTTTCGTCTGTCTGTCTGTCTGTCTGTCGTCACATGCGTTCACCGTCTGCTTGGAGGGCTGTGTTGCAGGAGTTTTTTGCGTGGAGGTGGCTCCCGATGGCGGGGTGAAAAGCATTTGCATCCGGGGAGCTGAAAGCGCATCGGAGGGGTTCTTGGTTATCAATAAATGCCCTGAAATTCAACGGGTTATGGTGCACACATACCACACGGAGATGAGCTCTCAGAGCCAGACGGGGGGGGAAACGGCGAGCAGTTCGGCAGCCTCCTCGTCCTCGGCGCATAGGTACAAGCAGCACGCCACGAAGCTTCCAGATTTCGACTTCCACTTTTTTGCACATGAAGGAGAAACCGTCGCTTACGGCTGGCCCTTCCCTTTTACTTATGCCTCCCGTCCGGTACGCTGGCACCGAAAACTAAGGCCCCTCGTTAAGGCGGAAGGTGCTAAACGCGCGTGGCTTTGGCTTAAGGCAGCTCCTCTATCATGGATTTGACGCTTTTTCTGCATCGCATCCCTGCGTTCGGTCTTTGCGAAAGCGAGCTACGCCCTGCGCGCCTCAAGGGGCTTTTCTTTTTCTTACTGCATCGTTTTGTTTTGCTGATGTGACGTTAAAAGGGGGCACAAAAGGATTTCGCGCATATAGGTTGCCGCTGCAACAGTGGCGGCACCAAGAGCTATTGAGAATAACCCTTGAAAAGAAAACACGGCGTGGAGTTGTATGACATAAGGTCACGATCAGTTTTTGCCATGGCTGCTACTTTTTTCACTGCGCTTAATCTGTGTGTGTGTGTGTTTATGTATGTGTATATATTTGTGTGTGTGTGTTTATGTATGTGCATATTTGTGTGTGTGTGTGTTTATGTATGTGCATATTTGTGTGTGTGTGTGTGTGTGTGTGTGTGTGTGTGTTCATGTATGTGTATATTTGTGTGTATATTTGTGTGCGTGTATATGTATTTGTATATTTGTGTGTATATGTATGTGTATATTTGCGTGTTTATGTGCATATGTTTGTGTATGTGTATATGTTTGTGTGTATATTTGTGTGTATATTTGTGTGTGTATGGATGTGCATATTTGTGTATATATGTATGTGAAGACTTGTGTGTATATTTGTGTGTATATGAATGTGTATATTTGTGCGTACGGTGCGGTCCCGCAGTGTCAGGTGCTGTTGTGGATAGACAGCAAGACGGTGGCACCAAAGAGCCCTATAGTGTTGGATCTGGAGACTCCTCAGTACAAGCGGTACGAAGTGAATCTGGGATTGCGAGGCATGCCACAAATCATCGTGAGGACAGAGAAGCGGGGAGATGCCATGATCATCGAAGTGCGCCCTAAGCCGGGAACTGGCCCTGAGAGGACTCTCGCTCTGGCTTCAACGCATGCAAAAAGTCAAGGCGCAGAGTCAGAAATGGTGAGAGTTTGGCGAAGCTGCAGACGGCGGCATCGACCCATTTGGTGAAGGGCTGTCGCCTTTGTTTGCTTCATCATTGCTTCCCTCTGTGTCTAGACGCCACAGCTGGGGGGTATGCCTGCCATGCGGAGTTCACAGCCCGTGACACCCCAAAGAAGGCTCAGAGATACGTACACGCGTAGAGGCAGGCGTAGAGACGTAGACACAGAGACACATCGCACGCACAGACGCAGCACAGGCGGATACACACAGACACAAACAGACCGACAGAACAGGTCACGAAGCGCCGATGTGGATCGCATATCCCTCTCGTGTGCAAGCACCTTTCGAGTCAGGATTTGAGAGCGCAGTGCTTTGCGCCATGTGTGACGCCAACAATGAGGGGGAGCTGGAGTGCGCTCGCTTTTCTCTGCGAGCTTCAGCAGGATGTGGCTTGCTTGCTTGCGTTGTTGTTTTTTTTCGTTTTGTGGCGAGGCAGGCCCTCGAGAGTCCCTTGCGGAGTTTGCACGTGGCGATCAACATGGCGCAGGTTGGGGTGTCTCTAATCTACGACGCTGTGAGAGAAGAGCTGTGTTTCGCGGAGCTGTCGCAACTGGCCATAGGCTTTCAGGAGCGTGGCGAGCGGCAGAAACTGCTGGTGCGCATCGCCGACATTCAAGTTGACAATCAAATGGAGCAAGGTCGCAAACCCGTCCTCTTGGCAAACAGAGGCGGAGGTGGACATGGATCCGATGAGGTGAGCACAGAAGGGCTTACAGCCGAGCTCAGCGAGAATTTTCAAGCGAAACAAGCAGGCTTCGTGTGCATATCGAAGGAATGTATTCAACCCAAACGCAGCACACGAAGAGACGGCGCTCCATGCATCGCGAGACGGCTATAGCCCTCCTCGATACTTGGAAACCTTCTATCCTCCGATCTCTGTATTTTTTTCTGCATGGCTTGAAAAGAAACCGTTGCGTTTCGCTGCGGCATGTCGCCTGGATTGCACGGGCGAATTCTAGGGATTGTATTTTTTTGCTGCACTACATTAGTAAAGTCACCTACTAGTCGTGGAGTGTGCTGCTGAGCGGGACGACAGCGAATACACTCATCATCTCTCCCTAGATGCCTTGACCAATTTCGCCATTGCAGCTCACTCATGGTGCTTGTGACGCTCTTTAGGCCGGCGTACGAATATACGTACATATGTATATGTACATATATATCCACGCCTTGCTTGTTTGTTGCTTGTGGTACTCTGACCATGTGGTATATCGATAATGTTGCGCTTTCTTCAGTCGTTATCAGCCCACAGCGCCTCTAAGCCGTTCTTGAGTTTATTTGTGGTGCGGCATCACACGACCAGCAGCGACGTCATCTTGCGCCGTGTTCAAATCGAAGTCGACAACTTGGAGGTCGAAGTGGACGCCGACGTGCTCAATGGACTCAACGTAACCAATAAACTCACTGACTTCGCGATTCTGCCTTTCCACCCTACAGCTTGTGACAACTAAAGCCTCAGAATATAGGGCCTTGGTGCATTCGATCCATGCATGCATACACCACGCAAAAGCATTTACCCTACTCTGCAATCTACGTATTATACATTCACGGGTTTAGGGTGGTGTAGATCCCCTTGAACCTAGAGTCTTTATAAAGCATGTTTGTGCGTATAGTGGCTGCCTGCGGTGGCTTGTACGCTTGGGCAAGGGAAAATTCAAGATTAGATCACAGACAGGGCAAACAGCATGTCTAGTTTAGGAGACTTACATATTGGTTTGTCTGGCGGAGGTGTCGGTCTTCTAAGGCGTGTTTTGGTATTTCCTTCCTTAGGACTTTATGTGGGCATGCATGACGTCTTTGGGTTTGATGAGCGCCGCCTCCCGCCGCACCGTTTCTTCGCAAGAACTGGAAATGTGGCTACAGTCGCCTATTCACCAAACATACAGCCCCCCGCCCCTGCCCACTGTATTGGCACTCGAGTCTATGCTAATTGACCGATTTGACGTCTACTGCTGGTGCTCCTTCGTCCTCGACAAGATGCACATGCTCTCGGACCTCCTGAAAGTTGGACTGCGCATTTTAATGGCATCAGGCCGTCTCGAGCTCATGGTAAGCAGCTGTTGACTCTCTCTGCTCTTTCTTCATTCGGTTTCTCCCCTTTGCTTTCCACAGCCTTCTCCCATCTCCTTGCCACAAACCGACTTATCGGTGGCCTCCAATGTATGTCGACCATATTTGGAGGTTCAAGTGTGTGCGTGCGTACATCATTTTTGGCTTTTGTATGGTGGTAGCTGCAAGAGCAGCTAAGTATACTAAGGGGACTGCTGCAATTCATGTAACGGACAGAAATCTACACATTCTGCTCTTTTCCAACCCGTGTTACGCATGTGCTCATGTGTGTGTACTGTCAGGGGGCAAAGTTGAACTTTCAGCGCGAAGAGTTCAGAAACCTGCGTGGAACTGCCAAGACCTTTGTCTCTTCATTGCAGGAGCGGTATACGTATCACTTGTTAAATTCAGTATTTTCTTCTTTGGGTCAGAGCTCGCTTTTGAATGTACCACGCATGCCGTATGAGCTCGGGAAGAACACCATTGGGTTGGCGGCCAACGCTGTGGATAGTGTCAGTGCGGGTTTAGGCAGTCTACTTTCAACCTTCACCTTTGACTCGGAGTACATCAACAGGCGACAGAGGGAGAGAGTGCGCAATACTGCGAGTATGCGGGACGGGTTTCTGTCAGCGGGCAGGAACATTGGAGAGGGCGTATGGTCTCTGACAAATATCGTCACAAAGCCCATTGAGGGCGCACAGAGAGAAGGTGTGGGCGGCTTCTTTAAAGGCATAGGCAAGGGCATTGTCGGATCGCTTGTTAAGCCTCTAGACAAGGTTGGGCAGGCCGTTTCAGATGTCACTCGAGGCATCAAAGCGGAAGTATCAAAGCCAATTGGGGCGCACAAGTTTAGAAACGAAAGAAGACGCAAACCCCGCTTGCTCGGCGAACTGGGGGAAATAAGGTGCGATGCATATATATTCTTTTTTTACGTTTAACTGCACAAAAAATGGAACTTCGGGGTTGAACACTTATTTGCAGAGCAGAATATCGGGGTAGTTAAGCAGAGGGGCATGAACTGGCAGTGAACTCCCGAAAATTCAGGATTCTATGTTTGATATGCTGAATGCTACATATGTGCCCTTCTACTTCCACACAGTGAGCCAGTTCAAGCGCTCTGATCCTTCAGTGTACTTCACACGGTTGTTTTCTACTGCTTTTCATTGCACTGCTTGCTCAAATGCCCCTGCTGGTCGCTACTGGAGTTGGCTATAAATGGTATTTCTAATTGCCCTAAATTGGTTCCTTCGTCAATTTCGTGTTTCATGGGATTCCTATTTTGCATCTAGCCTGTTCGCTTCTCAACTGCGGCTTCCACTCAGGCCCTACGACGAAACAGAGGCGACACTTCGCGAGCGTCTCGGCTTAGCAGTGACGCGCCGCATGCAGAAGTTCATAACGGTTCTGAAGGAAGAGGCGCTTCCTCCCCGTCATTTTGTAGTGCTGTTTTATCCCAAGGATATTTTCTTTGTGGACTTGCACGGGGCCCCTCTGGGGTCTCAGGGCTCTCAAGTCGGCGATGAGACGGAGGGCACCCGGGAGAAGAATGTGAATATTTTGTGGCACGTATCTATTCCCCTGGTGCGAGACATCCGCGCCAGTACGCACGGAGTCATCATCAGGGCCGGCCACTCCACAGTGCAGAGACCTAAAGACATACTGGCCGCAGTCAGCAGCCTAGAGCCCTCGCCTGAATCGCGCCGGGTGCATGTTGGATCTTTGCGTCTTGTGGAGCCTAAAGTGGATCGGTGCTACCAAATTCCTTGTTGCTGTGCAGCCCTGATCTCTCAGTTGTATAAAGAGCTGCTGGAAGCGGTCCACGGCTCCACCTCAGTCGTGCAACTCGGCACTTGGGACGCACAGCGATATACGGAGACGGACAGCGATTCTTAGGGATATTTTCAGTGCCAATGACTACTCTCAAATTCCTCCCTGTCAGCTAAACAAATGGCTTTGATGCTTCTGCTGTTGAAAGTGCCAGCTGCCAAAGCGGCACATCGAAAAGGCTCAGTGTTCATAAACACTTTTTTCTAGGACATGGGGGCTACATACAGCGCTGCGGTGGCTAAGGCATTTACTTGCGATTCGTCTTCATTTTTTAAATCAAACCAAGGCTTCTTTCGAATCCGACGAACCCCTCGTTCATTAAGCTTATTATTAGCATGCGGGTGTCCGTCCTTTTGGGTATGAAATGTATAGCTGTGCGGGAGGTCTCGAAGCTTTCAGAGAGTTTCAAGATGACTTTGTCTACTACTGCTCGCAGGAGCGATGATACATTTGGCGTGGTGAAGCACATCTACTTTCAATCTCTGAGTGACCCTCATGCGAGAAAATATGCAGGTATTGCTGCTGTTGGGATGGGAGGACTGCAGGTTCCACTGTGTCGCATGAATTCCTCCCGAGCACACAAGGCAGACACGGGCATCTCCTCACCTCTAGACACCATCGCGCTACCGTTTGTCGTTTGACCTGCTTCCTCTGAGATCCTGCATCCTCTCCGTTGCTGAGAGCGTGGCTGCACTTTGTCTGGGGTGATGGGAAAGACCTCACTGCCAGGCGAAGGCCAGCCACTAAATGCTATCTCCTGATGGAGAGGGGTGTCGCAGTCCTCCCGAGACCACGAATCGCTGTACTGTCGATGTAACGTGAATGGTTGATCGCGAGAAGTAGCAAGCACCCGATCTTTGGAGGTCCCCAAAGGAATTCCCTCCACAGCAGGGGCATCTGAAGAGCACTCACCACAGACGGCAAAGTGTTCAGACTTGGAACACACAGTCAAAAGCCACTTGTCGTAGTTCTTTGCGTTTCTCTCCTCCGCTTTGCACATATATATTCGAGTATACCAGCGACCTGTCCTCTGAGCTCCTTCTCTGTTACGAATGGCTGCTGGCCCCTGTCGCTAACGACTCGAGTGGCACATACACTGCGCACCTTCTACGAGTTCAATACTGGCGTGTATACGTCGAGTGCAAGGGTAGCGCGTCGCTTTGCCTTGCAGACGGCGGCCAGGTGCGTTTCTTACCGCTGTACGTAGAGTTCGGGTGGGGTGGGGGTTCTAGGGCAGGGAAGCTCAGCTGGTTCTCGAGGAGTTCAGGAGACTGAGGGAGACCTGTGTAGCCTCTGGAGTTATGCATCTCCAGTGCTTGTTTGCCAGACGCTTTAGTAGGCATGCCGCTGCTGCCAGGTACACCCTCCGCGTGGTAGCGGCAGGAAAAGGGCTCAGCAAGGGCATTTGTCATGTGGTCGCTCCTGCTGCAGCGACTTGAAACAGGCGGCTCCTTTTCTGGAGATTTCTGCGGTACCACAGCTGACCGCAGGCACTTGCCTACTATTTCGTTCTGTCTGAATGAAGGCCAAGCTCAGCTCCCATAAGTTTTCAGAAACACCACTCGCGAGAGCCGTCGTGTATGTACATTATCATACCTGATACGAGTGGACAGTTGCACTGTCATCACACCGGTGCGAACAATACAAGTCGTAGATAACAAGGAGATTCGTTACCTCTGGGCAATTGGCGAATACACGTAGAGGAACGCCTCCTATTTGTCTTGAAGCCAAGGAGGGCTGCAAAAACGCAGCGAGCGAGCACCGCAAAGGATGGATAAAAGCCATTTCGTCGGAATTCTGGCTTCGACACTTTCGTGCCGAGCGCCAGCACTAGCAGCTAGTGCTTGTCTTCGACCTTCTAAGCGGCAGAAAGGGCTTGCTCTCTGGGCTGAAGACAGCACGGTGGCTCAGTCAGTTTGTTGTCGCTATGCAAACAAACGCCTGGAGAGCTGGTGCGAGAGGGAATGCGGAGAATGGGGTCGCAGACAGCGTGAAATCGGAGACTGCATCCGCCACGGAAGGAGAACGGTCTTACTCTTGGAATGAAGTCACAAGCTTGCCGTTCTTCCTGAGTATCGAAATTCCGCAGGAACAGTAGCAGTAAGAGTCTTTGTTGCCGCAGCCAGGGGCTGTCTTTCAGCCATTGGATTTATCAAGCATGTGTGTGGGCATAAACTGGCAAGTGAATCGCCTCTCCCCCCTCCACCTCCTCTTGTAGTTGGAAAGAAGGGGAGATGAGGTGTTTCGCGGTGTTCAGCCGTGCGATCGACGTGCACTGCAAGGACAGCGCGTTCTTACCAGTGCAATGCTTGGTTTCCAGTTAGAGATGAGGTACTCCTTGGCTATACCGCACAGCAGCTGTTGCAGGTCGAATTCCAAGGGCGGTGCAAGCGACAGCGCGTGCACCAACTGCGCACATATGTATATCTCTGCTCCCCGATAGCGCAAAAGACCCTCTAATCGCCGCAGCTGCACGGCTATCAACGTGTGGGTAGAACGGCGGGAATATAAGCGAGCGACAGGAGCACACATGCAGCTGCAGAAGTCAAGGGCGTCTCTTGGCTCGTAGTTTTTCCTGAATTTTTCCAGCGTAGCGGAAACTGTGAAGTTACGATGCGCTTACCTTGAAGTGCACTTCTTGTTTTGCGTTCTTGAGTGCGGAGTCCACGAATGCTTCGCCGTATTTCATTCCGAGCTGTCTACGGACAGTGGTCAGCTCATCAATGCCTGAACACGACGCAGACACCTCATGAAGAGAGAGGCTTACAACGGCAGCTAGAAGCGTGCAGCCTATGCAGGGTGTGTAGTGCGATATGCAGGAACGTGTTGAGGACATAGGCCCTATGCTGTACATGGGGGAGGCATAAACTAGGCAGCGGAGTCAGAGCTCAATTGAGTGCACGCTGAAGCCTGCCGCTCAAGAGATCCAGAAACACGGAGGGATTCTCACTCAATCGGGGTTCGCAGTAGAGCAGTGTGTGGATCGGCGATAGCAAGTCCAACGGGCACGTTTTTTCAGTGGCGAGGTAGCTCTGTAGAACAAAGGTTTCACTGTCTAATGACTATCGCCATGAGTTTACTTAAACTATTGAAATATAGTCACCTCTTTCTCTTGCGTATGTGCCGTTGCAGTCTTTGAATAGGGCTACTAGAAATGCGAACCATTGTACGTATGAGCATAAGTCTCACCATACGTGAGATCAGAAGCTCACAGACGGTCACGAGAATCTCCATAGCCCTCTCCAAGCGGTATTCCCTTAGTAAGTGCTCCCCCTTTAGCCTGGCACCCTCCTCTCTTCCCTCTCTGTAGCCGGCAACAGCGTCACCAAAGCGCAGAGCCCAAGAGGTGCTTAGTTAGTCATGCACACACCTCACTGCACACAGAGGAGGTGAACTGACTGCTTGGAGTACACGTCTAGCACAAACCAGGGACTCATTACGGTATGAAGGCTACGTAGAGTAGATAAAAAAGCATAGGGGAAGACCCCCAAGAGCTCTAGCTCTGCAAAAGCCAAGACGAGGGGATGCCCACTTTAAAAATGCTGCGATTTCCTTTCGTTGGTGTCTAATTGAATTTTGCAAACGGTTGGTGCACATCTGCGCTGCGTGCGAACGGCACACAACGCACCATGAACAAGCAGGGTGTACATCTCTCCGCGTCTTGCGGGTAAGCACAACCACACATCGGCCTTCATAGCTACAAGTGATCCAGCCACACTTGACTGTCTGTAGAGGGCATTTACCTCTGCTGATCGCCATCTTTAGGCTCGCCTTACAGACAGCGCTGTCGAACCTCTCAAAGGGCCACCTCATCTTCATTTTTCAACAACTAGCGTATACAAGTCAGTTTTTGCAAAGTTCAGGTGTAGAGCGTAGATTCTGCAAGTAACGAAATATCCAGCCGACATTCCACGAGTGACTGTAGCTGCGTTTCTATCAGTAAAACGCCAAGGGAAAAGAACCTGCTTCTTTGTAACGAATCAAGCAGGCGCCCAATGGAGAACTGAATGGTCACATGGGGTCACGGTGAATAATCTTTCAGAAAAAGCAAGTAGTTGTGTTGCTACTGGGAATATTCGTAAAGGCGTATTTCAATTTAAAATGATAATTCTGAGTATCATTGAACCCTTGGGGCATGCAAAAGGCATCAGGGACATGACCGTAGATCGCCCTGTTCTCCTAGTAACAACAACCCCACCACAGCCATATACTGCATACATTGTCACTCTTGGTAGCCTCTGTGTTCACCACGAAGCTCTTAGAAAACAGCGAATAAACTGATAATTTACTCTAACAGCGCCATATCATGTAGACGGAAGTTACAAGAAGGAAACGACGTAGATGTCCAGCAAGTACTCTAGCAAACCAAACTGCCTGGTAGCCAAGAAGCCATGTAGTGCATTTGTATCAATACAACATCAAACATAGTAGTGCCGCTATACAGCAGTATGCAGCTTCATATTTGTTGCGGGGTGTGGCCTGAGAGAGATCACCAGCCTTCTTAGCTTAGTCGGTAGAGCATTCGCTTACTAAGCGAATGCTCTACCGACTAAGCTAAGAAGGCGATCATGGCTGCGCTACTCGTTGGCGTCGCTCGACTGGGATGTTTGCCGCAGACATTATATCCTTTCCTGTGAAGCTCTCTCGCACCGTTACTTTTCTGTTTGTGTTATTTGTAGAGTCAACAGAAAATCAGTTTGGGGTCGTGTGAGTTCGTTTCCGTTCCTGCATACTGTGCATTTCTTGACACCCAGCGCTTGAATCAAACTTTCAAGCTCCACACGCCTTCCAAGTCGATCCCTGCGCTACCAGTGATTCTTCAAAATTCCTAGTGATCAATGCCTGCTGTGCAGGGAGGGAAGTAGGTGAGTTGTGGACCTCCCCATTGATAATACAGACCTGCTTACTTTGCTTTTACCAAGACTCCTAGCGGGGTCGTTCGGGAATCCTGTACTGTGCAGCGATGGCCTCGCCTTAAAACAGAGGCACTGACAACGGTGTGGGATGCCCTCACTTGTGAGAGCTGCAACGGCCAAGAGTGAGGTCCAAACATGACAGGTACCAACGGTTCACACAAAGCCGTAAACGCCTGTGCATCGTCAACCCATTTGTTATTCCTATGTAGCAACCCATACACCAGGGGCACATACTGCAGGGCATCAATTCCAATAGCACATGATAAACTACTCAGAAAACGTAACCTTGGGAAATACAAACACACGATGGGCGAAGTAGGTAGGCCCTACATAGGTTGCACCACTTTTGCTGTGTGGAGCTAATAGTGCTAATCCTTGTTTGCTCATGGAGACTCCCTCATGTTACAGACCCACGGTAAACGACAAAAACTGAGACCTGAAAAGATTTATGCGAAAATACAAAAGAGGAAGGGGAGGGGGCGATAACCCGCAGTTGATTTGCCTCACGGCAAACCAATGTACTGACCCCAAGCCTCGTTGAGTACTGAAGCAGGAGGCAGTATCCTGCTGTGGGGGATAAAACGGTGAGGGACGGTTCGTCAGTCGGCTGGTTAGCCACTCAACGCACCGCCTAGAGTCATGGCAAACCGCGTGGCTTCCCCGAGAAAAGTTTCAAGACAAAAGTTTTTTCTGAAGCAGAGCAACTCTCTGCTCGAGACTCTGCGCCGCGCACCACTCTTCAGAGTCCATGGTTGCGACCTGTAGGGGGCAGAGAAGGCAGCAAGCACAAAAGGAACCACCCATGAAAGCAAACAGGTTATCATTTCACAGGAAGCACTCATTGGGAAGAGGCCAAGACAAGTGACTCCCCACCATGCCGGGGGACGAGCAAGTAAGGAGAGACAAAGCGCCCACAGGCATGATGGAAGAAAGCAAAGCGCGCAGGAAAATACTTTACATGCACAGGCAGGCATATACAAATACACGCTTGAGAAAGACCCCGTCTTTTCATATCCCCCATTCCTCTCTGCATGCGCGACGCATCGGAAACCTGCGATATCAAAAAGGAGCAAGCGGTTGAGAGCGAGGCCTTTGCAGGTCGTACCTTGGAAATTCCCAAAGCTCTAAATGCGCGCAGTAACAAATATTTATGCCCCGTATTGTAGTTTCTTTGTTTGCCTTCGGCTTTAGCGGTGAGGCGCAATCCTTCGTCCTCTGCCATGAGGACCAGCGGAGTCTCCTTAACCCATAGAGAAACTTCACTGAAAGGCCATTGATGCCCAAAGGCTGGTACGGGGGAGGGAGGCGTCCCTTCCAGTGCCTCGCGCCACTCAAGCGAGGCCTTGCTTGCCGTCTCTGCGGAGTTGGAAACGGCAGCAGCACACGCAATGCAGAGTGAGCCAGAGACGCAGCTCCCCAGCACGAAAAGAGGATGGCAGACAAATATGAATCAACCTTGCGTAGCCACGACAACTGCAGCTACGCCTTTGTCCCGCACACCCGAGGGAGAAGGTCAAAAGTTGAAGCAGTTTAGAGGGCGTTCAGTCATGCAGAGATTTGCTAGACGGCCAGTCAGCAGCAGCACCACAGACACCTAGAGAGCCAGAATGGCGGCTGAGCCTACAGGCAAAGTGAGAAGTCCAACAAAAAAATAACAAAGGACGGAGAGAGAAAGTGTATGTGTGTGCATGTGGCTGTCTAGAGCTCCAATGCCGCGTTCTCCTACCCCGCACTTCCTCGCAGAACTGTCGTATATCTCCCCGCCTGTCTGCTTTCCAACGGACGACGGCCCCTGCATAGGCCTTGAGGGCGTCTTGCTGCCGTGCAGCTGCCGCCAGCTGCGGAGCCTCGAGCTGGAGAAGCTGACAAACTTGCTGCAGCAAGGCGACTGGTTCGCAGTGATTGCGATAGGCAATGCGGTCTAGTGGAGTCAGACGCAGTTCATGGCCCCCTGCCAACTTCTCTGCTGCAGCGGATGCACCAGCAGCGCGCACAGCTGGATTCTCCGCCTCTGCTCCCGCAGCTGCGAAATCGCCTAGCCCACAGGGCAAGGCACCCTGAAAGTCTCTTTCAGAGGTTTCCTTCGCAAAAGAGTCCGACGTGTGTGCCGAACAGAGGACCCCTTCAGGTAGTGGCAAAAGCTCCAAGGAGCGATCCAGCAGCGAGAGGAAAAAGGGACGACTGTGCATCTCAGCCACGATAAAGGCCCAGCAAAGGTGTGACAAGTAGAAAGGTTCCAAATGCCTGCAGAGAAGACAGCCAGCACAACCCTGTGCGAGTTCTCTTCAACAGTACGAAGAGTAGAGAAGAGGAAGCAGGCACACCACTCAGGGTGCCTAGAAGAGAGATGGACGTCGCGGCACTGCAAGAAAATGCCACAAGAGGAATAGGCCTCGTAGCCAGATGACAGACGCCGCACGTTCGTGCATAGCAGCTGTGGCAGCAGCAGCACCCCCCGCTTTATTGGAGTAAAGTCGGTTCTATCTGCCAGCTGCAGCAGCCATACAGTGTGGCCTTAGCAATCGCAGCGTGCCTACGCGTCTGTGGCAAGGAGCACAGGTCTCTGCCTGCGCCCGTTGTAGCGGCTCTCCACATATCCGAAGGCGCGCGAGAACAACTTCGGGTGTATGTACACCATGAGAGCGAGAGGGAAAACGCAAGTCACGGTATCCCGAAGGCTCCGAAACAAACTGGCTTCCCCCTTCGTGCTAATGCACCACATCTGAATAAGCAAGCAGCAGACAAGACAAGAGAGACACACACACGCAGCATGCATGCATGCATGCACTCTCAGCAAAAGCTGCCGCATCTGCTGCTATTGCTGCGCTCCCAGCCCCGCCGGTGAAACTGCAGTAGCACCGCGAAGACGGCGTGTCATGTCAGCACCCGTGGCTTGAAAAGGCGACAAAGCGGCCCCTACGTGTGCAGCCGCATACTCTGAGCGCCACAACAAGTACCTGAACTATTGAGAGAGGAAAGAAAGAGAGACGAGTAAGGGCTTGCATAAATTTGAGGCGTTGGAGGACGCTTAGAGAGTCCAGCAGACTGGGTGCCTCCAAGGGTTTGCTGCTGCTGCTGCCGCTACGGCCAGTACTACACACGTCCAGGGGATTGCACAGGCTGGCACTTATATGCTGCAGCAGCTGACGCGGGTAAAATCCCCTGACGCGCGAGAACGCATCTAGACAGACAAGCCAAAGCGTGAAGTTGACGCTATACTCGATCTCTGCAGCAGAACCAAGACGCATGCATGTACTTGCGCACGGGAGAGGCTCCAGGCCCTTAGTTTTCGTTGTGGCTATGTCTTGCGACGCGTGTATGTCTGTTATGCGCATGACGTGTATAATGTGAATAATGTGTACTATGTGAATAATGTGGTTGTAGAACCCCTAAATCTGAATAGCTTTTTCAGTCTCCTCGCACAAGACGCCACTAAGCCTCCGCCCATGCAACAGCCACGCCGCTTGAAGTGCATCCACGCGTGACACAGTCCTGATAAAGAGGCCGCGTCCACGAGCTTTGGGAGACACAAAAAATCTTGACGAGAGAGGAGTGCCACGGGCAGCCAGAGGGCGGCAGCTAGCCAGCTAGCTAGCTAGCTAGCTGTGTGTCAACATGCCGTAAAGGATTTCCTCATGAAAACCCCCATTCAAAATTCCAACAGGGACCCTTCGAGCTTACCCGTATACCGCGAAGCCAGCACAGACTCTATGCGAGGCACTAGGGAGCTTTGGGAACCGTAGGAGGCTATGCAATCCACGACGTCCACCAAATCGTGGAGGGGATGCACAAGAGCCAGCGGATCGAGACTGTCTGTGCCCCCCTTTCCCACTGACGCTGAAGATTCTTGAGGATTTGAGGAGGAGAGCGGCCGTGCGCTTGCAGGGGAGGCGGTGGCTTCCAGAGCTGCGACTAAGGACTGCGTGAGCGTCGAATATTCCTCTGGGGTGTCACTGCACCGCTGCTCCACGAAACTTGCGATACTGCGGCAACAATCCACACATGGCCAGTCAGCACTTTCTCGTTGGATCTCTCAAAAAGCCCTTACCCTGCAAGCAACCACTCTTCGCGAAAGTTCGTCCAACAGCATCCAGCAAGAGCAGGCGATGCCGGAGGAGGGGAAAGAGGAGAAGCTAAGCAGCAGAGAGAAACAAAGCAGCGGAGAGAAACAAAGCAGCGGAGAGAAACAAAGCAGCGGAGAGAAACAAAGCAGCGGAGAGAAACAAAGCAGCGGAGAGAAACAAAATCCGACAGCAGGGATCTGGGGAAGCACCAAGTGGCCTTGCTACTGCAGGCATCTCACCAGCAGAGTTGCTGAGGAGCGAGCGATGGCACTTGTGCGCAGAGCAGCCGAGCAGCCCCTCGCGAAAGTAGCGTCAGCTCGGAATCCTTGAAGGAAGGATTGAGGTGTTTCGCCACGCGGAGCATCAAGCGCAGCTGGTAGTAGTCCATCGTATCAAGCTGCAATTAGGCATCACAAGCCGTCCACTGAAGTTGCAGTAGAGGGGGAGGAGGAGCAGGCGCCTTTATTAGAACAGAGCCGGAAGGCTGCATGCTGCAAGACCTCCTTGGCGGGAGAAGACTGCCAACGTGATTCGGGGAGAGAAAGAATGGCTAAGAGGGGTATAGCGGAGAGTAGGAAGCCTGACTAGCTTGAGAAGACGCGGCGTCGCTCTGCGGTAAAACATCCTCCAATCCGTGCAGAATCGATACAGACCAGCGCATGCCAGCAACAATGAAGGGGGAGACATAGCGTCGGCTGTCTTAGTGGCCTTCTCGATGCATGCGTCTACGGAATAAGGCACACACCGCAACGCTGCTTAGGTGTCTGCCACGAAAGCGAGGAGAACGTGAAATTTCAGAAACATGGATACGCAGCTTTCTCCCCTCTCTCCTCTCCTCTTCCCCCCAAAGCAGCAGCAGTAATTTTTCTGCTCCTCAAGATCACCAGCGGCAGCTGGAATTGCACCACCCGTAGCAACAGCTCTCTCTCTCTCTCTATATATATATATATATGTATATATATATATACGTATATATATATACGTATATATATATGTATATATGTATATATATATATATGCACTACAGAACATAGCGACAGGAAGAAGAGCCGCAAGTTTCGGGAGGAACAATGGCAGCAAACACCAACACGGCGCAAGACAAAAGTATTGAATCTCGAGTATGTGTGTGTGTGTAGCAGCAGCAGCAGTTACCAATATAGCGCTTGCAGCGAAGCCCCATACGTCCACATTCGAAGAGATACAAGGCAAAGGCGTCGGGAGCTGCCGCTGCGAGATGATGCGCTGATACCACACGCAGCAACTCCTCGCTAAACAAGTGGCACCGGCCTAGAGCATGAAGACACCGAATCGCCGCTTCTGCTGCTGTTGCCGCTGTTGCGTCTGCTGCTCCCGACAGCGGAGAGGCTGCCAGGCTTGGCAAAGCAACGGAAAACGCGGCAGACTGCGCAGCCTGCAGCACTTCTTCTTGCTGCTGCTTATGCTGCGCTTGGACTTGCGAGAGCTCTCGAGACAGACAGACGCGCTCTAAAACGCTGCACACAGACGCTGCAGGGAGGCACTGACACAGGCATCAGCGAAGCCGCAAATTAGGCATGCACATATGTGTATATGTATGGACTGCATGCTCCACTCTGCGCCTTCCTTCTTCCCCTCCGTGCTTCCCAGGCAGAAATCAAACTAACTGCAGGCCTCTCTGCGTCACCAGAGGTGCAGCAGCGTCTGCTGTGTCTTCCAACTTTCCCCCCTTTTCTCCCCCACTCTCTGTAAGGCCGTTAAGAACCTCATCTGCAAAGCGAGAACCAGGACGGCAACTTCCCCCCTATTCCCTTAGAGATGCGAAAAAGACTTTCACAAGCCGTACGAACAGCCGAGAAAGAGAGACAGAGAGATAGAGAGAGACGTACAGCAGCAGTGTAGGGACGGCATCCCGCACGGAAAGCTTCAGCTGTAATGCGGCCAGAAGCGATACTGCCTCTGCTGCATTGCAGAGCAACGCCACGGCTGCTGCCTCCAGTTCTTCCTGCTGCATGCAAGAAGGAGGAGCGACGACATCGCCTCCTGGAGTAGGAAGGCTTTTCCAGCAGACTTCTCCGGCAGCCTGTAAGGCTTCTGCAGACCATCGCAGGGTCCGGAGATCCTTTGCAACCTGCAGCTGCCACATGGCAGCCACTTCTGCAGCTGCTGTTTCAAGGCTGTCGCTCTTTGCGCTGAGGGTGTCTGATCCAGCTGCTGCTGAAGGACCACCCTCCGCAGCTGCATATATCGCTTGCAGCAGCAACACGTAGAAGGGAGACCCCAAAGAGTCGTAAGTTTGCTGCTGCCGATGCCACACTGTTGCTGCTCCTGCTGCTGCTCCTGCTGCCGTAGGAGTTGCAGGCACTGCGCTCCGAAACAGCGTGCGAAAGGCGGGAGCAGACAAGTCGTACCGATACACGAGCCTCATGCTCCCCCCTGCATCTGCCTTGCCAGTAGCTGCAGAAAAGGCAGCAAGGGCCTCTCGAATGACTGCACTAACCGATTGGGGGAGGATGCGTCCCTCTCCAGCTGCTGACACTACCAAGGGAGTCAGACAGGCTGTGGCATCTACTTCGTATGCATCGTCCTCAGCAGCTGCAGCTTGCGCTGCTGCCTGAGGTGTTGCTGCTGCCTGAGGCGTTGCTGCTGCCTGCGCTGTCTCCGTTGCCCATCCAGCAGCAGACTGCGCTTTGGAGTGCCTCGAAGAAAGCCGAGGGGACACCCAAGTGCCGCTTGTACCCTGAGGCACAGTCGAAATGGTCAGTCTCCCTCCGAGGATCTTTGCAAGCGTCAGTTGTTGCGCTCCTGTGAGGAAACTCGCTGCAAATGGAGCAGCTGGAGGGCGAACACGCCCCTTGAGAAGTATCCTGGGGGCCCCCAGGAGGGGCCCCCGCCAAGCACAGGTCATGCTTTATGTATGGGATACCTACCCGCCGAACCGCAGAAAAAAATGTGCTACGGCGAGATTTTTTTCTGCAGAGAGACGCTCCGGTAACACGGCCTCAAGATGCCTTGTCACCCAACCCGCTTCGCCTTTCCTGCGCTGGTAAGGAGGTGCGCTGTAGCTGCGATGGCTGCAGCAGCCCTGCTGCAGTCTATACCCGCGAGAATGGCCTTCGGGGAGCTCAGAAAAACACGTCAGAGGCACTTTGGCATGCATCTTGCCTGTTTGAAAAATTCACTTCCCAAGGCTAAAGAACCTCCTCGAGGGGGTGGGGTTCGAGCTTCGTCTACCGAGGGGCCCTAGGTGACCTTAGAGGGTGGCAAGGGTTTGAACGCTCATGCAGCCTCTCGTTTAGTTCTTCGATTGGTGGGTATTTGAATCACTTAGGGGTCTTTTAATGTGAAGGAGCCACAGCTCCCTGAAACACGAGCGATGTAGCGCAGATTTGGCAGCAGCTGGTGTTGCAGGTGTTGCAACACCCGCCGCTGGCATAGCACTCACTCCTGACCCCCCCTGCCCGCGCTGCAGTGAGAGCAGCTCAATTAGCGCACGATTCCCGACAGTAAAGCTTTTCTGGTCACAACTGCCGCGTGACCTCACGCCTCAGAGGCGTTAAAGGAACCTACGCAGCTTGAAAGGAGTTTAGGAGGAGCAGCGAGTGTCACTGCACCTCTTAGGCTAGCTCGGAATTCCAGAGCCTTCCCTACCCACTGAAGTGTTTGGGTCTGTCAGCATAAATGCGAGATTTCAAGAGGAGGAGCAGCCCGCAAACGGGGAGACAGCCACGGAGCTACCCGTTCGGCGCACTCCGCTGCGAAAGCGCAACTCCTGCCGTAGACTTTAGGGCAGCTAAGGTGTGGCCGTGGTTCAGAAGGAGCCATGGAGCAGTAAAAATGGACGTTGCTGAGGTCCATAAACAGCACCAGCTAGCGAGAGGGGTTTGAGTTAGTGAGAGAGCAATTGCACCTAGGGGCCGTATAGGGTGGCGGGCTACGCCTTTGCAGCTCCTTTCCTCTACTGCTTGTATTCGGCTGCAACTAGAGCAATATTAAAGGCTAAGAAGTGCTTTTTGGAGAATGTGCACTGCGTTTGCTGCGGAGTTGCGTGAGTTATACTTCCCGATTCTGGGAAGGCATGTTGAGTGCGTTAGCGTTCAGCTTCAGCGTACAACTGGGTGCAAGCTAATATTCATTGGTTCTCTAGAGCGTACAGTAAAACCATAGAAAGCTCAGCTTTCTCTCCTTATGCTGAGACCCCATGAAGTGGCACGGACAGAGACAGCAGGGGTGGGGCGGCCTCGAAAGGATGCTCGATACCTTTCCCTTCAATGGAGGAATGAGCTGAGTTAAGGGTCTTTCTGCGGAACTTGCAGCATGGAAAGAGATAAAAGGGATTTATGCAGCTATACGCATGACGTTCAGCAGATGCTGCATTCCTAGAGGCGGCCTAGTCTGGAGAAAATCCGTGCACGACGTGAGGGTCATCGGCGAGGCGAAGAGGAGGGGTAAGGTGCAGCGTGGCAAAGGGACGGAAAGGCGCTTCTCAAGTCTTTGAGGAGACTCTTCATGTTTCTTTCTAACTCTTTCCTCTCTGCGGCAGCAGGTGCTGAGGTGGGTCGTGCTAGCTCGACTTTTTGCCTAAAGAATACGTTGCTCGTCACAGTGCACCTTCGTGGCACAGGAGCAGAAGCATGGGGTTTTTTACATTGCGCGTTTTGCGAGGCAGGTGAACAAGGCGGAAATAGAACTACGAAGCCATCACGGCGCTTCTGGGAGCTGAACCGTCGCCTCAACATCTTCCTCACTTTATTCTACTCTGCGGCCTGCTCTGCAAAGGCCTTTCAGGCAGAGCGTGGAAGGGGAGGATGTTACTGTGCAGTTCCACTTTGGAGTTGCTGGCTCCGAGGCAGGCACGGTTAATCCCAAACGTGAAATCCTTGAACAGAAACAGTAAAATACAGCCTACTGGCAACAGACGCCTCGGTCTTGCAAGACTTACCGCATGACGGCCCCCTGTACACGTGGGCCCCTACCGGGTGTATTATAGAAGGACCCCGAGGAGAAATTCAGTTTCAACTTTGCTCATGCGTGCCTTTGATAGGCCACCGATCGCCTTCTAGGGTTGGTGGCCTATTGCCCTAAGACGAGTCGCTTTTTCGCTAATGGAACTGAGTGTAGACGCGTTGTTATATCGTGGGGCACCTGCACACCGTGGCTACGGACTGCGTAGCAATGGCTGGCTGCTGCTGCGTGCATTAGGAACAAGAAGCTGTGAAAGGCGAGGGTAGGGGGGGGGTGGGGGCAGGGTTCTTTTCACAGACTTCTCTCATGGATGGTCTGCGCATTAGGGAGTTGTGCAGCGCTATAATCGCGTTCACAAGCAAAGTTAACGCTGCGGTCCTCGTCGTGCATAGGGGAACTACTGGCTCTGCTGGCCACGCCGCCCGCCGCTGGAGCCTTTTTCTACTTCTTTAAAAGGCAGGCCTTTGCAGGTGCACTGTAGAACACTCTTCCTGCCACGAGAGGCACTACAGCTGGCGCACCTGAGGCCCATGCGCGGGCGGCGGCTGCTGCTGCTGCTGCTGCTGCTGCTGAGCAGCTGTTACTCAGCAGCTCCAGTTCGGGCAGCACAATCAAGAAAGCGAGGGACACTGGCGGCAGCTGCGCAGGATTATGTCTGCTGGTAGAATGCTCTCTTGTCTTCGCTGCCGCTGCGAACGGATTAGGGGCTGAAATCCACGTTGCGACTCGCCTGCTGCTGCTAGTACTAGTGCTAGTGCTAGTGCTAGTGCTAGCGCTAGTGCTAGTGCTAGTGCTAGTGCTAGTGCTGCTGCTTCTCGGGTGGAGTGGAACGCTTTCTACGAACTCACGGACGGCAGCAGCAGCACACTGGATGGCGATGTCTGCGACTGCAGCAACCGCAGCGGCGGCAGGGAGGGGAGCTGCTGAAGAGTTCTGCTCGATGCATGCCACGAGTGCTGAAGCTTCCATGAGCTGCTGCAGTGGTTCGGGAGAAGTGTCTGCCGCAGTAAAGAGCCGCCGCTTCGCGGCTGCCAGCAGCAGCACGTCATACAGTCGGACAGAGGGGTGTGACGCCAAGCGGAAGCTGCGCCAAGCGGATAGAGACACCCAGGGAGACCCCACAGGACAGCAGCAGCACCCCACAGCAGCAACGCGCTGCAGCTCCGCATGCCCGCTGCTGCTGCTGCTTCGAGTGCACTGCAGTGTGCGTGGAATCTCGGCCGCAGCGGTCACCCACGCTGCAGCTGCCTCTGTGGCTGCAGCAGCAGGATTCTGCGCATGCTTGGCGCAGAGCTTGCCCTCCCCTGCTGCTGCTGCTGCTTTGTGCGCCTCTCTCACCCGCCTAAGGACGGAGAATAATTGCAGTGCAGCGTGCGCCTCCCGCGTTGAGGCCTCCAGAGCGGCTGCAGAAATGCACAAAGGAGCTGCTGGCGTCGTTCTTGTGGCACCCTTTGCCGCACGTCTCGATGCCGCCTCCCATGTCGCCTCCGCTGTGCCGACGGCTGTTGCCTTTTCTTGCACGCCGTCATACATGTGCGTGTAGGAGCGACAGAGGCAGCCAGCTGCAGCAGGCAGGATGGCCCCCTCGCCGTGCAGTTGCTTCTGGAGCCACGTTAAGGCAATTGCAAGCGAGGTAAACCTGTGTGGCTGCCTTTTCCGCTGCGGTTGCTTCTTGATATGCTTGGTGCGCAAATGAATCTCGTGGGGTAAAGACTCGATGTAGACCTGCTGCTCGCAAAACGTCTGAACGTCTTCCAACACCAAAGTTGCTGTATACGCCACGATGCTTGGGGGCCGTTGCTGTCCTTCCTGCCATTGCTGCTCGCCTTTTTGGCGGGATCCTTCTGACGAGCACAGCGCATCCTTCCGTTCACACGTTTTTTTTCTGGTGCGTCCCTTAGCACCAGCAGCAGCAGCAGCGGCGGCAGCCTCTCTAGCAGTAGGCTGGTATGGCATAGTGTACGGAAACAGCAGTTTCAGAGGGAGACGCAAAGGCAGTGAGGGTAGAGGACACCGCCTCTGCTGCTTCTGGATGGTGTCGTGAACAGGGTCTTCTAGGCAAATACATCGTGGTAGTACAGCAGCGCCTTCTGACGCAGTTAGAAATGCTCGTTTTGAGGGCTGGGTTAAAGCATCTGAGCACCTGCGGGTAAATGCTTTGCCAGTTGTGGCAGATTTCGCAGAAGACGGCACTGCGGTAGTAGTCGGAAAGGAGGCTAAGTGCTGGCTGTATCGCCTCTTGCGTCCAACGGATGCAGACGTTAGTCCCGCGAATCCGGCTGCTGCTGACGCTACAGCTGCAGAGTCCTCTGGACAGCCAGATGTCTGCAGATATGGTCGAAATCCCCTCTGTTTGGGGGCGTTTTTCTCGCGCATTCCCAGTGTTTCTTTCGAAAGAGCGCGAAGATGTTGCCCACCACGGCGGTGCAGGTTGCTAATGCTCTCGGAGGAAGTGGAGAACTCGTTCCTCCTGGCGTCGGATATTTCATAAACGAAGCGCTTTCACGATTGGAGCGACCTCTTGAGAGGCCTGCAGTGGAAGACCAGTGGCCAAGGGCGCCTGCACTCCTCGCTTCAGCGGCGGCAGCGACCCCTGCTCTCCTGAGGCATCCCTTCCAATACAGCTCAGCAACAGCAACTATGAGTGCATTAAGTTGTCAAGAAAAAACCCACGAGTTTCTCTGCAGCCGCAGCGGCGGATCGGGTACACACACCCCAAGTTTCCGTTCAAAATGCAGGGTGGTCTTGAAACTGTCGTCGGTGCTCCTCGTGCTTCGCTTGCCGTGTGACGTCCGGCGCACTTGTTGCGGCCAATTCGCCTAAGATTCAAGAGGAAGGATGCGTTTTCATGACTAAATGAGAGCTGTATCAAATTTTGGATGACGTTCGCTGCAGTATTCTTCTTTTTCTCATGCTGCTGCTGCTGCCTCTCTGCGGGCACCCACCCACCTTCCCTCCCCCCGGAAATCTGCCAGCCCCCTTGCACGCAGTAGCAGCAGCAGCAGGACTGACGACCCACTAGCGTGGGTTCCAGCCCACAGCAGCTCTACAGATGCTAAACAAGGCACTTGGGTATAAAATGTGGCATATTCTGCGATTTCTTGAAGTGGCGACGACCGCAGGAGCACTAGGTTGGTAGCGGCAGCAACAGGCGACAGCGGATGTCTTGTGCCGTGTGCTGGAGCAGCACCAGCAGCAGTAGTAGCAGCAGCCATGGCGGCGGGATTCCCAGAAATGATACTTCAGAGCTAATGAAACAACTCATGAGTGGGTTTTTTCATGTGAATGGTTCAGCAACTGTGGTGGCAACAGCACGAAGAGCAACGTCCTCACCAGCAGCAGGTGGCAACTTCCACAGGATCGTAGCGCTTGCATGGCCACTGTTTCTTCTGATCTTCTCACAGGTTCTGCTGCCGAGCTCGGCTGCCCCGAGCTGCACTCTTCCTGCACCGCATTGTAGCACGGACTGCAGCGGCACCCGTAGATCCGACAGCAACATTGGCGCGCTTGTATGTGCCCTTCGGTCTGCTACAGACGGCTCGATTAGCGACAGACCGCCTTCCGCGGCGTACATCTCCCTTGCCCAGCCGCAACTGCTCAGACTTTCGCGCTCTTGCAGACTGGCGAACCAGGCTGCCGCACAAGCCCCCTGCAGGTTGCCCCGTCGAAGCCTCTGTCTCGATGCAGCATGCCGCAAAACTTTCTTAGCCACAAAAATCCCAGAACCCTACAGCAGATCTGTTGCTGCAGGGGCAGCCGCTCGTGTCGGTGCCCCCAGGGGACACCTCTCTTCCTTCCAAAGGGGCCGCTGGCTTATGACAGGCAAGGCAGGAGCACGCGATCCCCCCGAGATCGAAGCATCAGCAGCTGTCGAGCTGCATCCGAGACACTCAATGACAGGGGACGTGGCTGTCGCGGCTGCACGCGTGAGGGAGGTCTCGGTAGGAGCCCCTCTTGCCGTGACAGAGCTCTCGTTCGATTCTCTGGATTCCACGCAAAAGTGGGCTGAACGGCATCTTGATGAGCTGGTGTATGTACACCTGCTAGGCGCACAGCAGCAACAGCAGCAACAGCAAGATATATGGGGCTTGGGGGATCGCTGCTTATGCATCACTGCAACGCAGCAGACGGCGGGTGTAGGTACGCGCAGCGGCGAGACTGGTGAGGAGCGGCGGTGGGTATCTTCAGCGGGGAATCTGCATGCGACGTATGTTTTACAGTGGCCGCTGCAGCATCAGCCGCTGCTGCTGCATCTTCCCTTTGTCGCTGCACTCTCCGTGCTCCGCGTGCTGCAGCAACTCGGAATTGAGGGGGCACACATCAAATGGGTAAACGACGTTCTTGTGGGCAATAAAAAGATTGCAGGCGTTTTATGTCAAAATACGAATCGAGCTGTCTCTGTGGCGGGGGCGGCAGGTGCTGCTACTGCTGGAAGTGCGCCTGAAAATGTAGTCGCTGCTGCGGGAAGCGCTCAGAGAGATGCGCTGTTGGTGCTGGTGGGTATTGGCATTAATATTGCCAAACACCCTCGAGGTCCCATGACTGACTGCTGCTACCAGGGCAGCACGGATGTGTGTGAAGCGTTGCAGCATCAACAGCTGCAGCAGAAGCTGCTGCAGCAGCAGAAAGATTTCGCCATTTGGCCGTTCCCCTCTGCGCATTTTTTTGCTAGCAGCAGCCGGAGCCGCGCGGTAATGCCTGTTAAAAGAGTCCTTGACATGCTGCACAAGAATTTGTGTGAGCTGTTACTGCAGCTCGTAAACGAGGGGTTTTGCCCGATTCGATCTGTCGTGGCGAGGCACCTCGCCTTCAAAGGCGAGTTGGTGTCTGTCGTGCTAGATCAGCAACAGCAGCAACAGGAGGAAAAGTACAGCGGCGTACTGGAGGGTCTTGGGCCTGATGGCGCACTTCTGTTGCGGCTACCCAACGGCTCCCTTAAAGCCTTTTGCTCAGGCCGGCTTCTTAGGGGCTGAGCTTTAATTAGTTCCTGAGCAATGTTTCGTGGAAGCGCGAATATACAACGCTGCGCTGGGGCGAGGGAGGAACTTAGAGGTCCTTCCAGCTGTCATCGCTGCAGCTTCCCGCGCTGCGGCTGCCACTCCTTTACACAAGACGGCAGTAAATAGGATGTTTAGCTTCATAGACCGAGAAGAGGCACTGTGTCATTACACCATACACAGACGCCGCGCGCGAGTAACGCTGCGGTCTCTGCGTCTAGCCACTAAAACTCACTTGTTGCCGCAGTCCAGCGAAAAAGAAGGAAGCCGACTAATGCCGGCAGATATTGCTGTACGTGCCTTTTTTTGATGAAACTCAATGGTTTTCCATGGCTGGAATGTGCGTAGTGTGGGTGTCCGGGGGGAGTGACGGACCCTGTGGGAGTAGGCTGACGGTGTCTTGTCTACGTTAGGAGTTAAAGTTTTTCAGAGGTGTTATGCTGATTTGGAGAGGCTTTTGTAGTCTCCCACGCATACATGGCGAGAAATTTCAGTGTTCCTGGCCTACAGGGGGAGCCTCCCATACCTGTATCAAGGATATGGGGGAGCGTGCTGTCTCCTTCCGTGCCTTCATATGCACGAATTGCCAGCATTCTAAAGCCATCCTTAAATTTGCGTGACGAGACTGCAGGGAGGGAGTGGCGATGGCCTCCAAAGGGCCCCCTGTCGACCCTCTCGCGAGGGATGGGAGACTACTTCGGCGCCATGCCTTCGTCACCCCCCAACGCTTTCCCTAAAGACTTCTTCTCGAAGAAAAGTCTCTTTGAGTGTCAAGGGGGCCCTGCAAGAGCTCTTCGCAGGGATTTGACTCTGCGAAGAGCGCAGCATCCAGCCGCGCCCAGCATCTCGGGGTGTCCACGGAAGGAAGAACTGCACAAGGAACTCGCCACCCACATTCCGCCTGCAGGTCAATTGAAATAATGCCACATTAATGCTGCAGGAGTGAGAGCGCCTAAAATTTCGGGGTGGAAGAGACGATCTTGCACGGCACGAGCAGCAGCAGTCAGCAGCATCTACAGCAACCGCGCAAATGCCGACGTCAAAGCAGAAGCTGCGCCTCCTGAAGCACATGGCCACGCAGCAGCACAGCAAGGCTACAGAGGACAGGTGCTAGCGGCTGCCGAAGTGACGCGTGGTATCCCGTCAGTCATCCTGCAGGTCTTTTGTGCGGCAGCGGCATCAGGAAAAACACTCGCAGTTGCATCAGGATCAGTGCAGACACAAGCAGTAGGACCGAACCTGATGGGGGAACGCTGGCGGTACAGCGGCGTGAAGAGCAGCGCAAACAGCAACACCTGTGTCGCAGCTCTCTTCCGGCGAGTTAGGAAAGGCAAGGTAGCTAGCGCTTGCTGCGAGTAAAAAGGTTGGCAGCAGCAGCGCAACATCGTGGGCAGCTGCAGGAAGAGGATGCGAGAGCGCAGCAGCATTCCCGACGCGAGCAGTGCAGGGGTGAACAGAGTCTGTGGAGAGACCCTCCACGTCGTCAAGGAAAGCTCTTCGGATGGAGAAAAAGCGTCTTTAGGCGTTGAGCGGCAGGCTGGCATGCAAACACACTCTGAGCAACATACTTTCTGAGTGTGTAGTGCAGCGACAGCAGCTGAAAGAATGCTCCGCCGAACTGCATGCGAAAGTGCAGTGTCCTGGTGCGAGTTTCCCAGATGTCTGCAGCTCGAGCAGCAGCGAACTGCGCGAGTTGCAACAGTCGGATGCCTCTTTGGACTCTTCTGCGCGCAATAAGCTGCATCAGGCTGCGACTTGTGAGCAGCAAGAGCAGCAGCCACGCAGACACGGTGTCTGCTGCAACAATGTGAACGGCTTGTGGACCGAAACGACTCGGGAGACTCACGCTGCCTCTGGGAGCCAGTGCGACATGAAGAGTGCCGCCAGCAGGGGCAAGAAGGGCCAAAGTTTCACCGTCAACAGCGCGAGCACATGCAGCAGCAAGGCATACTTCTTGACTTGGCTCTGGCGCTGCTGCCATTGCTGCAGTCCTCCCTTGTCGAGTTGATGCTGCAGGCAGGGCCTTATTGACACAAGGAAGCAGCACCAGGAGCCGCAACACCAGCAGCTCCTACTGCGGCTATTAGTGAAGCATCAAGCCAAGCAATGGCCCATGCTGTTGTTTTGGGAAGCAGCCATTCTTTTAATGGCGAGCTACTGCGGCATAGGCTGCCAACGCAGCAGCAGGAGGAAGAGCATCAACGAGCCAAAGCGGAAGGCATACTCAAAAAAAGCCTGCCTCTGAGCGTGTAACGGCAGCTCTTTTTTCGTTGCTCTCGTGCAGCAGCAGCAGCTTCCGCCTTGGCCGAAGCACCAATCGCCGCTGTAAATAAGGGATTTGTGCTGTTAATGCGTGCGAGGAAGCCGCGAAGTCCACAGCCGTGGAGAGCACGCTCACGGGTGTCTCACGCGTTTTGTCGTATTTTCCGACAGGCGGCCTAGCACTCTGGCGGGCTTCACAGCTGTAGTGGGTAGCAGCAGAGGCACAATAAAGGACGCACACATGCACACATACATGCACACACACATACACATACACATGCACACGCTCACGCACAGCTCAGCCCCTAGAAGAAAGAAGTTAGGAATAGAGGCGGAATAGAGGCCGATCCGCAGGCGGCGCTATATACACAAGCTGGCATATGGCAAAGGCCGGAAGATAGAGGGCAAGACACGTTCAGAGAACGGGTTCAAGGCAGAGTCACGCAAAGAGGCACAGATGCAAATGCGACAAAGTACCTGGTATAAGAACGCCTGTGGATGCAGATGGTAAAGGAGTCTGCTCGCTGCACGGTGACACGGCACATATCGGGCGAGCCGCCCCCTGGTTTACGTTCTTTCTTACGGAGCCAAACCATTTATACTAAAATACGGATGCCACCATAACCAAGGCGCGTGACAGTTGCACTCGCTAGATCCCTAAAACGCTTGTTGCTCGCTGTTTCGAGGCCCTGTAATCTGTTTTCTGGTTAAAGGGCATCTAGAAACCAATTCATCTTCGCCTCTCTATTTAGATAGCCGTCTACGCAAGGGGCTCTTATTCATAAAAAGATTGCAAAAAAGTACAGATACCTGTACATGCATGCAAGGGTTGGCTTTCGATTCGCCTTACATGTGGTATTAACCCTGATCTAGCGTGACAGGTTTAGGACCCTGAACATGTTAGTCAACGGCAGTGCAACCGTTACGTGATGGCTGTGAAAGTCGAGATGATTTTTCTTCTGCAGATCTGCTGAGCTGTAATGCTGCATCTTCGGGTTTCAAGGCTGGTAAACTACGGAAAGAAGCTGCTTGGGTGTGAAGGCATTTTCCTTACCCTTGCCTCCTTGAATGAATCGTATGGGGCCATGTACAGATGCACTCGCTAAATAGCCGTTACTTATCGTTTGTGGATTTGCTGGCTACCTTAATCGAGCTCTTGCTCCATGGACGGCCCCTGTTCACGTTTTAGGTATACTGAGACAACAAAGGAGGAAAAGCTTTTTGACGTCGGTCTTTTCCACTTCATCAAGCCGGCGAGCAGTTACTTCTGAAAATTACACGAATGGGATCTTCTCGACTCCTACTACTTGCAGATCAGTAACTCTCAAGGGAACACTGGGGCAGGTGGAACGCCTGGTTCATGCAAACTATGCACGCGCGAAACGGCATATGTATGTACGGACGCCCCAATACACAGAAAGCACATATGTAGCTATGTACACGCTTCCCCGTGCTATGAACTTGAGCGATTGGCACCATTTGTACCATGAGCTGGGACAGAAATCGGCGCAGGTGGGAATTTCGCTACATAAGCAGAAGCTGAACTTTTGACTATATAGACGCATTCGTGCGAAAATACTCTGGAACCTAAATGCGGGTTATTGCCATTAATCCACGTATATACCATAAATGCACAAGCGGAGACCTCAGCAAGCCCGTGAAGCAGTGCACGGATAATGTCGTGTACTTTTTGACAAGGGTTGTTATCTCGACCATGCCTAGCAGCGCTCTCACAAACTGGTTCTCCGGCAGCAGCTCCCACAACACGTTTATCCGGGCTATGTCGATGATGCTTCCTGTAAAAGCAGAACGGAGCGCTGGACCTGCTTTTGTTTCTCCGTTGCCATCTTTCGCTCTTCTGTGTTTTCCTCCTTAAGCACTATTGTATCTTGCTTATCCACTTTTCCCTTGAAGACGTCACTACTGAGGCATGGGCACTTGTCAGCGTGAATTTGTACCATTAAGCAGTGGCTGATACAACAGAGGAAGCCACTCAGAGGCAGCAATATGCTGAACGTAAATAGCGGAGTAGTGAGGAGGGTTCTCGCATCCAAGGCAGTCTTTTTCTGTTGTGTAGGAACTCTTCATCGGCTAGGAATGTGGGACGAATTTGGCCTGCCACTGAGTTGGAATGGCAGGGTCACAGAGAAGAATATACCTGAAGTGCCAAGAACGGTAATTTTAAGTGTTATTTCAAGAATTCCCCAGACAAAACTTGCCTAATTGCGGCTTCCGGGGGTAAGAATGACATAGCGTTTTTTGGCTGCTGGAAGCGGATCGCAAAGTCATCCAGTTTCAATACCTCTTTTTCTGAGTTCTGGGCCTGAAGGATCATGGAAGGACTGATAGACTTTGTTAGGCTGCTCCAGTAACATAAGTACCCATCCCTACCACAGTCCGTGAGCACCGATGGGCATTATTTAGCAGTCACAAGCCTTTTCGACAGCCTGTTCTCTGAAACGCTGTAGGTAATGGGCATAGACATAGCCCCACTCATCCCACACGATCAAGTGTGGCACACTCAAAAATGATGAGTTTAGTTCTCTTTGGATCAGTGGGCATTCACGACTTTCCAGCCTCCCCTATCCTTGATACATGTCCTGAAAGATAGGAGTGCTTCACGCATTGGCCTGAGTTTCTTCCATTTTGGGAAATTTTTGGCTTTCCTGCGTGCCGATCTTTAAGAAAGGGGCCTCTTTAGACACCTCTGTAGAAAACTGGTACTACACTTGCTCATCCAAATACTCTTTGCCAGCTCGAACGTTCTACGCACTAACATAAGTTGGAGAAGGCATGTTGACTCTCAGGCTAGCAGGGTGCTCGGGCCATGAAGAAAGTTAGTTCAGGTCCATTGCCTTAAAGACTAATAGCCAATAAAGAATTCGACGCTACTAATATTACTGTGGGATACAGTACCATTCCAGGCTTTGCATGCGGTTGCACACAATTCCACCAATAGGGAATAACACTGCGGGTGAGCTTAACTACGAGCAGGTTTGAAAATTAAGCAAGCAAAGAAACTTCTATTTGGGCATGGAGCTTGCAGCCACTACGGCCCTGGTACTGTGCGCTATGAGGTAATGGCACAAGTACGGGATAAGCATTCAAAAGTGACACAAAATAACTTGTTCTGAAGCTTTGAACGGGTTCAGACGCCAAGTCGTCCATGCGCGGACGCTAGAAGGAGCTTTACAATGCTTGCACGTATGAATGCACTAAGAGTATGTCTTCTCACTAGACACGCACTACATCTGCTAGGCTCCGTTTGACATTTCAAAGGAATATGTGAAGCTTAGGAAAAAAACTGGCAAGACGGTTGTACTCGTGATTGCAGTCGTCGGTATATTGCATGGGTTCGCCTTAGAACTGTTTGGAAAGGGAGCACTAATATAAATTAAGCAAACAGTAGCAGGAGCTGTAAGGTTTGCTACAAATCAACAGAAATAGCACTATGGACCACTGCAACGACATTACGAGCTGCACTAGCAGCTGCGGGAATGTTGGCTGTAGCAACAGTATCCATAGCTCAGTATTTGCAGTACATCGGCAGTTTTAAGATACTTCGAATAATGATGCACCCAGTACAGTAGAATGGACTTGCGACAGAACTGCTTACCAGTTAGAAAGTCATTCGTCACCATGGAGCGTATGAAGTATGCTTGTTGTAGGGATGACGTCGGAACACTGCTCAGTCAACAGTGCAACCGAACCGAGAAAATAACGTATGCCCCCAAAGTAGTAACGAAAGAAGGGAGAGCTAAAACTAGCCCGCGCTGTTCACTGCGATTCGCTGAATACAGTTTCGGAGAGCGTTAGGCTTTTTTTGCTATGCAGTCTTATTTTATTTGGGCCCGGGCTCCTAGAGGAACGATAGAGGCACTACATCTCGCGTTGAAGTCATGAAGGATTCTTTGTCTTGGAGATTTGTCCCGTAAAAACTAATGCATTCTGGAACACAGCGGCCCTTCAAGAGCAGTTGTCGCACAATTTGAGGAGCTTCTACTACATACGCACAGAATTATTTTGGGTTCGCTCCAGCATTTTGGACCGTCTGTGGTGGAAGAAGTTGAATTCAAGAGTATCAAATCCTTCTGCAGATTTGTGAGGATTAGGTCGTACAATATATGCCAGTGTGAACTGACGCGCTATTGAACTGTCCTGGTTCACTAAACGTGCATTGTTTCGGGAAAAAACCACACTCGGCGCACCAATCAGGTATAACTTCTTCAGAATATACAGAACACAGGACTCTTTTAGTAGCAGCAACCTCTAAATGCGGTTTCTCTGCTAGAATATTAAAGTCACGTGATCAGTATATTTAATCTTTGTTAGGTCCAAAGCCCCAGCGAGGGATTTCGTTCCAACATTCGAGGGTTTATGGTGAGCAGAGTGCGCAAGGCAACACAAGGAGAACACAAGGTCAATCTGGGCAAAGGGAAGACACAGGATGGCAAGTAAATGAAGGGCCTAGAACTATTCGCATAATGCAAGTTGCTGGCTTGATAGATAGGAAAGATTTAAAGTGATCTACAGTGGCTTTCCTACTCCTCGCCACATCGGATGACTTACTCATATAACGTTAGCCACCGTTACAGTAAACACAGCATTGACTACGGCAAAAATGATGTCCATTCTAGCCACTGCCTAGAGTATTTTGCTGATGGAGTCTGGAGGGGGCAGGCCCATAATTTAAGGGCTTTGTGAGAAGTGATCCAAGCGAAGGAAACGGAGATGCAAGTGTTTCCTCTAGCAAGCAGACCAAGCGCATTGGACATCTACTGAGGAACATTGGCCTTTGGACTGCAGTACATTTGCACTGATCAAGACCCCGGTGATGCGCTGCAGCTTCCACATTTGCTCGACTCCAGCAGCATACTTTGACACGTCACCGGCCTTCCCCGCAGGCTTTGTAGAGAAACCAGCTTTGGAGAGTTCAGATACTACCTAGAGTCGACAGGCAGAGCATGCACGATCGTACTTGGACTGAATCCCAAGTCTGCCAAAGTCCCTTCCCCCGGGAACAGGCCTTGGTCACCCCTGCCTTCCTACATGAACTATGACGCTGTTGAAAAAGCACCACCTAACCAAGTGCAGATATTTCGATTGTAGCTGATCACGTCTAACAGGGCAAAGGACTCTACACTTGCGTAGAAAGAATGCCTAGCGTTTACGTGCTCGGGCAAGGCGAGCAATCACTTGGCTCATGGTGATAACACAGCAGAGTTCTAAGCTCTTCTGTGTTTTCTAGATAAGGAAGGTGGGAGCCCTCCGATCATTTGCTCTGATTTGGGCCTGCTTTATGCAGAGTTTCTGCTAGATTTCTCCCCTTCAGCTTGCCAAACTACAGCGTGTGCGCTGTTAAGACAATAACTTCTCAACTGTCCCGAGAAAAACGCCGAAAAAAAAGTCGGTGGCTGTGCATCTCTTAGAGTCTACCAGATGCAGCGTGTCTGGCAGGTGAAGACTGACACAGACGGAGTGAAACAGAGTGTATATATATATTTGTACTGGCAGCTGACATGCAAGCAGAGCATGCCTGCTGCATAAAGATAGCAACTCGCGCAAGCTCTGTTGCCTGGTTGTTCGGTGTTACTTAGGTGAGGCTACACTGGTCGACGGCGCGGCCCACCTACCGCCCCTCACCAGCTAGCTAGGCAGCTTTTCCTCATTCGTGAGAATGTGAACTGGCAAACAGCTCGGTGGGTTTGCCTGCAGCCTGCCCCTGAACCCTATCTCCGTTGGCGACGAAATTTCCCCGCATGTGCTGCTCAGGCTTGAGGGGGTACAGGTTCTGAATATGGGGGTCCTGGTGTACTTGAGTGCAGTAGCCGCAGTGTTCAAAAGTGGCCCCAGTAGGACAGCCTCCTGTTGAGCCAATGCGGCTCCTCGGAACTGCCATGGGGGGATGAACACCAGAGTCCACGCCGTGGCTGGAACGGCTGCTGCCTGGCATTGTGTTGGTAAGCGGAGGGAAGATTAGACGATTTAATATGAAGTCTGGACCTAAGGTAGAGAACACACCAAAACATAGGCCACATATGATAATTAATGCAGAGGAGGGGAATGATGAGCTGCCGGTTGCGCAGCTCTTCATCCAAGATTGAATGGGGTGAATAAATTCGGCAGGCAGCGGGGAGGTCGAGTTCTGTGTTAGGCATCCCGTGCGAAGTGCCCCCGAAGGCAACAGTAGTGTCAGTGGGGTGATTTCCCCTCACCTAGAGGCGAGGAGTTTCTCGCGGGTTGCTTTGAGCGCTGAGATCGCATTGCACACACAGAAGGCACTAGCGCACATCCCCACGTACGTCGCCAGGCGTGGGCAAAGATGAGCAAGGGCGGGAACGGCTGGGTTCATTCAAGAAAGAGGAAGATGCACACCTCTAGGAGGCGCAGCAAGAGGAAGCAAGCGGTTGAAAGAGAGGGAGGGAGGGAGGAGATGAGCAGAGAGGGAGGGATAAGGAGGCACCAGCAGTGAGGCATACGCTGAAGGCGAGCGACGACTCACTTGAAATGAAAGCAGGAAGAGTGCCTTCTTCTGATACCAGCAAAAACCCGAAATTACAAGAAATCAAATTACCGGGAACCTGACCTGCCGCAGTGAAAGCAAGCGCAACATACAGAGTAGGCGTGTGACTCTGACTGGCCTGGTCCGGCCTGGTCTTACAGCAGCAGGCTGTGCTCCCTCTTCCCAGCATATTCCCATGCAGCGGGGGGAAAAAAGCGAGTGATATGCACAGTCTGCTCGCATAATAGGTCAGAGAGTTGGGAAAAGGGAGTTACGCAAAGAAAAATCACTTAGATACCACAGAGGACGACGATTATGCAACAAATGGGAGTAGTAGTAGCAATGGTAGCAGTGGGCTGCTCGACCCTGGCGCACTCCAGAACACGAGCTACGAGGGGAAGTGCAAAACTTGAGGAAAGACTTGAAAAGTAAGATGACCCCTTTTGTAAGAAACAACACACCTGCTGCAGTTCTCTGATGAAGGAAAAACAAAAGGCGAAAAGTAAGGAAAAACTGAGGGGATGTGCGCAGCCTCAAGGCTGCTGCTGCGTGCTGCGCCTGCCACAGCAAGGCATCATACCAGCCAGCTGCTTATGGAGAGCGAGCTCGATGTGGTAGGGAGATGGGGGGCCATGATGAACTACCACTACTTGTTATCACTTTTATTCAGGTAATAAAATTGTATTTCATTGGTACACTTTCTTGACTTCCTCTCTTTCTGCATTGCCTACTTCGTTTTTCCCTTTCACTCATTTTCTCTTCCCACACAGCAGGATGACCTCCATCACTCAGCGCCTCAGCTTTTGGCTGTTTGGTAAGTTGCATTGGTTCTCCCTTTCCACATTGCATCTTCACGCCTTTATCTACTCAAAGCTGCCATATACCCGCTCACTTTGGTGGTCTCTCCCCAGCCTTTTCCCCTAAACCGGAGAGCACGGCGGGTCGTTAGTAGCGTAGCAACGACCTGTTTCCTCTCTTCCTTCCATTCATGAGACTTTTGTTTGGCTCTCATATCAACTCTAGTACTCCTTTATTTTCTGTCGGGGGTCGCAAGGGAGTCTCTGGTTTGTCTTTCGCCCTCAAGCACCTGGCATAGTATCGAATAGGACGCCGCCGATTCATTATTCCCTTTCCCTTCCTTTCTCATACACACACACACACTCACGAAATACGCATGCATGCACTTATTCTCCTGCATGCTGCCTCCCCCCCCTGTGGCAAGCGCTTCGTGCTGCCTTTTTCTGCTGGATATGACGGGAAGGTCCTTTACAAGGGATGCAGTGTGTATGTGTGTGTGTCTGTGTGTGTTGGGGGCATGGGGGAGAGGGGGCGCAGCAATATGCACAGTCGATTAATAACGATGGCTGATCTGCACGACATTTTTAGTAATTTTTGGCCTCTGGCATCAGTCCATGTGTATTTCTTCCTTGTGTAGCGTTTGGGATTTGACTCTCTGGCTCTTGCGGTGTATCTGCCTTTGCCCAATCTTCATGCTTGCCTGTTGCAATGCCCATTCCTATCGTGAAATGCATTGTTCTTGTGCTGCGTTTTCTGGTGGAGTAGGTAGCGAGAGTCCCCCCCAGGTGCCGCATCCTCCTGAGATTACTCCGATCATCCTAGAGGCACGCTTAATGCTCAACCTGAGTGGGTTCTTCTAGGGCCGAATCGCCGTATTCTACTCGTTATGTCGTCTCTGCTTTCTCTGTGTCTATGAAGTCTCTTTCGCGCATCAGCGCTGCTGTGCGGGATCTCTCTCTGTATCTCTTGCGCACGCTTTGCGCCAAATTGTGCGCGCATATCCATGCCGCAGTGCGTTCCCTCTTTCCTCCGTTGAAATCAATCAAGCCCCCCAACGCCGCAATAGGGCATTCTTCCTGGGTGCATTGTCTACTGTCTTCTCCTGTGGAAATTCTATTTTTTCTGCGTAGCTCAACTGTCCACCTCATTGCTGCTCCCAGCTTCTTAAATTTTGTGCGCTTCTTCTTTGTACTCTGCTCCCGCCGTCCTGTTGCCTTTCGTTCATTACTCCAGAGGTGGTGGCTTGTTTCTTCCTCTGACCTCGTGAATCTGCAAGTCGTAGTGATATGTTGTCCTCTCTTCCGTGACTTTTCTGCGTGCCTTGCGCAGGGGTTCCCCTGAAAGGCGACCCCACGCGGGAAGAAATCATCGACATGGTGAATGCGTCAGTAACAGACGAAGAACTCCAGGCTCATGCGTTGATGGCGATGAAGGAGAACCTCGGCATGGAGTTCGATCGTAAAATCAACCCCCACATGCCTGAACCGAAGTACTACGAGAGGAAGATGGCTTGAAAAAGGGGTTGCTGGCTCTTCCCCTAGCGACACTACTTGCTCCCATATACAACAACAGCAGCAAAAAAGAAGCCCTTGGTTTTAGGACAGACACGGAGAAGGCACAGGATGTGCGGGAAATACGCACCTACAGGCGCGAGGCGCCAGCAGCTGGTGCACATACAGACGCTATCTACGGCTAGCCAGCGGCTAGCTGGAGCACAATACTGCACGCGCAACGTATCAACTAGTCATGCACAACAATTGGATGGCGCCGCAAGAAGCGAACATGGAAAGGTCACTGTTCACACTGCGTTCCTATGACTCGCTCTCTTGTTCTGCTTGCTTCCCTCTTCTATCCCTTTACTGCTCTTTTGCTTGCTGAGCTCCCTGAGAGCTCTAATGGTAACTGACAGGTATGATTATTCATTCTCGGCGCGATTTCCACTGCCGAATCTTTGCAAGGCAGCCTGTGAAGGAAGCCTTGACAGGAAAGGTGAACAATAAGGTTTTTTAGACATACTTAAGAAGATTACGGACCACATATCGAAATTTTTAAGATATGTATCCTGTTAGAAACGTAGATCTACGCTTGCAGTCTCGGAGTGCAGCGACGGCTGGTTTTTGCCTCATGCACCCGTTTTCTCCCGGCTTTTTCCCTTCTAGAATCATCCGAATTTCCTTCCAGCCACACGTACGTCAACGCCTGTCTCGCTAAGTAGCACACACTACTGATGACAACTCTCTCTGAAGAGGGGTAGCGAATAATGGGGCTAGGCTGCACTTTGGCGCACTCGACTACACCAGCTAAATCTAAGTAACAATTGAAAAGGAGAGGACATATGCGTTCCAATGCATTCTAACACCTGAAAGCTATAGCATAATCAAGGTAGCTCAGTGCCACATGCATCAATGTTGTGCAAGCGCGCGCTCCACGGTACGAGGTGCTACCAGCTGGGAAGGTGTGTAGCATTGACTGGATGTAGCAAAGCCCATACACCTCTGCAGTTGCTTTGTCCTCTCGCCTCACGCCGGAGTGCTGAAGCATGCGGAAGGCAGGGAGATAAGTCTTCTCTTAAGATTTTCCAGCAACTTGCCTCTCGGCTTTTTGTACTGAACTTGGGGCAAATCATGTGTGCCCCTAAGACGGGAGGTGTCTGGTGTAGCGTTACGATGCAGTCCTTGAAGTGAGGCGTTCTCTTTCGGTCCCATGGGCAGTTGGTGGCGAGCTTGAGTCACCCTCAGCCTGCACAGCGTGAAGTTGCACAAAGTCGGCTTCTTTTTGGCAAGGCTTTTTCGGCTAGCTGCGGCGGCTCCTCACGGAAGGTGGCTAGGCCCGACTCGCCGTAATTGTTAGAAGCTGGGGGCAGTGCGTCCCTTCATGTGCTACGAATATGCACGCATGTATGTATTTCGTTACGCTGATTTGAGGGGGCAGCACAGCGACCTCTAGAAGTAGGGGGCTGCGCTTCTACCGGAGGGGCATCTCTTAGGCGTCTCTGGAGATCTGGAAGGTGAAGCAGCGGCTCCCTACATACATTTGCCGCGAGTATTTCGCTAGCGCGACTTGCTCCGCCAAAGCGGCAAAGGGAGGGGGAATTTCTTGATTTGCGACTCTGTTAGGGGTAAGATGCTGTCACTCGCATTGCGGCGGCAGCAGAAGCGGCACATTTAGCAGTGCATCGGGGTCCGGCACTCGAAGAGCATGCAAATGTATGTCAGGCGGGAAGAATAAGCGGGAGCTACTGAAGGTAGAACCTTTTTGCTCGGAGCACCCCTTGTGTTAGCAGTGCACTAGGGCAGAAAATCTTCATGAAACCACACTGAAGGCCAGCAAACGGGCGACTGGGGTGGCTGAGTACGTGTTGGAAGTTTTCAAGCTGTTTGCCGGAGATTAAGTTAATTTCTAGGGGGCACTCGAAGCCACAATCGTGGGCAATCCGGATCGTGCAGCTTTGGCGAGTTAAGCTGCCAGTTTGTACCCCCTTCCCCGGGAGGCGGTCGCCGCGCCTCATATGGTGAGAAAAATTCGAATATTGAAATTTTTAAAATGGGCTTTATTCCACCAAAGAGGTGTTTGCAGGGCATTAAATGAAGCGACCGCCATGGGGGGCCCCCCTCCCTGTGGGCACGCGTTCCCTTTGAGGGGGCCCCCCTCCCTTGGAGGGGATGGTGATGAACATGGGGTCGGTTATCCAGCCATTTTACTGTCTGCGCGGAGCGGTGTATAAGTAATTTTAATTGAATTTTGTGAGTTTTAAGGAGTTCGGAGCTCAGCACTCCGCTCTTAGACGCCTGCTGCAACTACTACACCCGCGTGCTCGCTTGGGGAAGTTTGTAGGGTTCTGCGTCGACGCAGGGGCCCCCCCGCCTTCTGTGCATCGACCTGACGCTACTGCAGCCGCAACTGCAGCAGGAGCACCACACAGTGCGGTGGCAGCAGCAGCTGCAGCAGCAGCTGCTGCTGCATTGATTCGAATGTCGCAGAAGAACCCCATCAAACGCTCAGCTGCAACCCCACCTACAATCGGGAGGCACCGGTTTGTGCGGCGGCGGCAGCAGCAGCAGCAGAAGTAGTAGTAGGAACCCTCCTGCATGAGTGCGTGTTATTATCAGTACAAGCAGCACGATGGCGGGGGGACTGTCGCTGCGCGAGCAGCATGTGGATGTCTCAGTTGACTTCGCGACGCGCTCGGTTTTAGGCTTTTCATCCCTTTCTCTCGAGATCAGTGGAAGCCTTATTGCAGCAGCAGCTGCTGCTGCAGATGCGTTTGCTGCAGCGGCAGGCGCTGCTGCCGATCCTTCCGATCCTGCCCCCTCAGAGAATTCGGAAGGGCCTCTTAACGGAGATACCCTTGTGCCATTCGCCATACCCCTCCACGTATGTAAAATATCCTCTCTGTCTCACTGTTGCTCCTACTTGCACCCCTGGTGCAGCGTCCTCGCTTCACCTGGCGAGCGCTGCCATGAGGGGGCTCCCTTGCCGCGAAATTGGCGATGCTTTGCGTTGTCTGCTCAATTGGCGATGCTTTGCGTTGTCTGCTCATGATGCTGCAGTTGCCGCCTTGCTGCAGCATCATTGCCTGCTGGATAGAAAAGACGCCTGCCTTCTTCCGTCTTGGGCACGATGGACCGCATCAGCAGGAAGAAGAGGAGCCATCAGAGAAGCAGCGAGCACAGAATCCGCAGCAGGAGAAGGATACCTCTCAGCCCTTCCCGCAAGAAGAAGATCAACAACGACAACCACAACTACAACAAGAACGACACCCTGCATGCATCCGGCTGGATCTCTTGGCGTGGCGAGAGGCTCTCAAGGTGGAACTGCTTGGCTTGTCTCTCAGCTTCTGAATGCTAAAATGTCTCGGTGCCCTTTAAGCGTTTTGCGTCGGGGTGCAATGCAGAATGCAGAAGTCACAGGGGTGCGGTGCAGTGGAAGGCATGTGCGAAGACACGCAAGGGGAAGGAGGGGGAAATATGAGCTTCTGGATGTGCGTGTACTTCGTGTCTTCCCGAGGCGAAAACGCTCCACAGGGAAGGGGTTGTAGCACAATGTCTGATGCTCTGAGGGGTGTACCACAATGACTGATGCTTCGCATTTGCTGCAGAATTTCCGAGATGCAGTGCCTCGCCCTGTAGTCTTTATCCAGCTCCCGCCGCTGCTCCAGCAGACTCTGCTGTCGAGGCAGCAAAGTTTCCCAGCGAAGCATGTAAGTTTCCTCTTCCCTCCCTCTCCCCCTCCTTTTCGGTGTGAAAAGACGGCACACTGTTTTTCTGCCGTCTCCTCTGCTCCTGGAATCCCCCTGCCACTGTGCGTTCTTGCATTTCTCTGTAGATCGCCGTATCGCTTATCCGTATTTTTGTCTCGAAATTCTTTTTTTGGCTGCACTCTTGCTTTGTGGATTGCCCATGCGAGGCGTTTCTGTGTGACGGGCAAGCAAGCGCTGAATTGTGACTTTTCTCTACGTCTTGGGTAGCTTTTTGTAGTTTTTTTGTCGCTCTTTCTCTCTCTCTCTCTCTATTTCTCTCTTTCTCTTTTTTTTCTTTCTCTGTCTCTTTTTTTCTCCTCTCTCTCTCTTTCTCGCGCTGAATTGTGACTTTTCTCTACGTCTTGGGTAGTTTTTTTGTAGTTTGTTTTGTCGCTCTCTCTCTCTTTCTATTTCTCTCTTTCTCTTTTTTTTCCTTCTCTGTCTCTTTTTTTCTCCTCTCTTTCTCTTTCTCTCTCTTTCTTTCCCTTTCTGTTTTTCTACGTCTTGGGTAGTTTTTTTGTAGTTTTTTTGTCTCTCTCTCTCTCTATTTCTCTTTTTTCCTTTCTCTGTCTCTTTTTTTCTCCTCTCTTTCTCTTTCTCTCTCTTTCTTTCCCTTTCTGTTTCTCTACGTCTTGGGTAGTTTTTTTGTAGTTTTTTTGTCGCTCTCTCTCTCTATTTCTCTATTTCTCTTTTTTTTTCTTTCTCTCTCTCTTTATTTCTTTCTTTCTTTCTTCCTTTCTCTCTCTCTCTCTCTATTTCTTTCTTTCTCTTTCTCTCTCTCTCTCTCTTTCCCTTTCTCTTTCTCCTTCCTCGAAGGTGTCCAGCGTCCTCCGTCTGCGGAGGAAGGCTGCTTTGCAGAGCATGTGCAAAAGTCGCAGCGAACTGGAGAGACAGACCGCGTCTTTTGTTTGTGCGTGCTGCTGTGCAGAAGCTGAAGGTGTCTATTTCCTTCGTGTTGTCTGGCCTCGTGCCGCAGTGTGGCAGCAGCTTGTTCTTCGCAGAGGAGTCGTACAGAGACAGCCAGGGCTATCTGCGTCGACAGCTGTTGCTGCAAACGCTGCAAGGCGCTGCAGTATGTCCTCCCTGGTTTCCCACGCTGCCTCAGAGAGCTTACGGAGGCACAGGAGGCGCTGCATGCAATGTTTCGGAGACGATTGCCTCGTCTCAGGCTTCGCCAGCTGAATCCGCGCTTAACTGCAACTGGAAAACGGTGGTAGACGTTCCCGAGGGGTGTTGCGCCGTCATGCCAGGAGTGCTCACACGTCGTTTCTCCGCGGCAGCTTCCAAGCTAAGGCCTTTGTCTGCTGCTGCTGCAGAAGCAGCAGCAGCAGCAGCAGCAGCAGCAGCAGCAGCAGCAGCAGCATGGGCAAGAGGGGCTGGGGATGGTGCTGCTGCTGCTGCTCGCCTTCCCTCGAGAGACGCCGCACGCCGTGAAGCAGCCTTGCCACCAACAGCTGCAGCTGCCGCAGCAGCGGAGGGTCCAGATGCAGACGAGCAGAAGAAGGAGAACGGCGTCGCTGATGTTGCTGCTCCTTCTGCCGCTGCGAGGAGCAAGCCGACGTCGCAGAGCTACTGCGTGGACTGTGTGGAGGGAGCGGCTCACGGCTGCTGCTGCGCTTTCGGCAGAAACCAGCCTCTGCATTTGATGCTTCGCCATCCCCTCCAGTGGCAGCAGCAGCTACCGCTGGATAGCATTTGGGGGTGCCTTCTTCCGCAGGCAGAGCAGCAACAGCTGCAGAAGGACGCGCAGACGCAGATCAAGCGTGGAAAACAGGCAGAGCAAAACGATCTCTCGAACAAAGAAAAGCAGGAGGAGGAGCGCCTCGCGCAAGACGCATGCATCATGCGCGAAGTGTTTGTTTTCGAGGCTCTAAGTAGCCAACGCAAAGCCGGACGGACAGGAGGCAAACCTGCTGCAGCTGCTGCTGCTGCTTTCGCTGTTGCTACACAGCAGCACCTGCAGCAGCAGCAGCAGCAGCAGCAGCACCACGGATCGACTGCAGCTTCCTGTGTGAACGGCACGAACCTCGGCGGCTGTGCTGACGCCTGTGGAAGCAGAGAGGCTTCTGCAGTCGCAGCCCAAGCAGCCGACGTAGCGAGTCGGTCGGTGCTCACCTGGTTGCTGCCGCATCATCTGCTGCTCTTCGCGGGAGAGTTTGCGGCAGTTAGCGGAAACTCTGGACCATATGCCGTCACCGTTGAAAGCATCAACAGTCCTCGCAGGAAGCATTACAGCCAGCACCAGGCAGTGCTGCGGGGGGAAGCCTCAGCGGGTAAGAAAAGACGCGACGCTCGCATTTCTGTAGGGTTTGTTCCTCTTTTTCTCTCTCTCTCTCTCTCTCTGTCTCGAGAGAGACTACGCTATGATTTTCCGAGGCCTTTTTCCGAGGAGATTGTCTAGAGTCAGTCGCCAGTGCGTTTCGCGCATTTTCCAAATAGCGCTGCGTTCAAAAAGTTCGCTGGTTTGCGCTGCAGAGGCTTCCCAAGGAGTCGCCTCTGCGCCGATCGTATCGCTTCTCACTCTCAAGGGACTGGAGGAGTGTCTAAGACCAACAACTGTGCGCTAGAACTGCCGAAACAATTTATAAACCTGCCGAAAGCATTTATTCAACAACCCACATCCTTGTCTCTGTAAAAACAGACTCGGAAGCAGCAGCAGTTAGCCTTCCACGTGCGCTGGTCTGCTGGAATTCAAACATAGCGGCACAGGGTGCTTGCTGTTTGCATCCTGCGATTCCGCTTTTGTGCGCGATCGACAAAAGCTTTCTATGAAGATTAGAGAGAGCCTCCACACTGAGCTTCTCCAGAGAGGCTCGCCATTCAAGGGCGGCCTTACATGGGTGTCTGTGTGTTGCAATTGCGGTGTAGGCAGCACTTGCGGAATGTTTGCGCGTCTTTGGCAATGCATTTGGCACCTCCCCTCCTTTCGGATGTCTTTGCCTCCTTTTCTACCCTTTACGCCTCGCTGCTTCCCCGCATTGGAGTTTCCACTCCTCTTCTGCAGTCAGCGCTGCGTTTCATGCAATGGTAGGACGGGACTGGTGTATCTACTGCTGCTGCTGCTGCTGCTGTATCTACTGCTGCTGCTGCTGCTGTATCTACTGCTGCCGCTGCTGCTGCTGTATCTACTGCTGCCGCTGCTGCTGCTGTATCTACTGCTGCTGCTGCTTTTTCTGCTGATGTATCTGCTGCTGTTGCTTCTCTTTTGCTGGTGCTGTTTCCCTTCTGCTGCTTCTCTTTTGCTGGTGCTGTTTCCCTTCTGCTGCTTCTCTTCTGCTGCTGCTGCTTCTCTTCTTTTGCTGCTGCTTCTCTTCTGCTGCTGCTTCTCTTCTGCTGCTGCTGTTTCCCTTCTGCTGCTTCTCTTCTGCTTGTGCTGTTTCCCTTCTGCTGCTTCTCTTCTGCTGCTGCTGCTTCTCTTCTGCTGCTGCTGCTTCTCTTCTGCTGCTGCTGCTTCTCTTCTGCTGCTGCTTCTCTTCTGCTGCTGCTGCTTCTCTTCTGCTGCTGCTTCTCTTCTGCTGCTACTGTATCTGCTGCTGCTGCTTCATCTGCTGCTGCTGCTGCTTCTCTTCTTTTGCTGCTGCTTCTCTTCTTCTGCTGCTGCCCACTGTGCGCGGCATCTGCATGCGCCGCTGCAGCACTGCAGCACAGGCAAGGAAGAGGGATGCAAGTGGGTGCATGCGTCTACGCAGTCCAATGATGCCTCTGCCGCTGGATTGCGGGAGCTGACGGAAGACGCCAATGCGGACTGTGCGATCGCGGCAGAAGTCAATCACGCGTATGAGTAGAAGCCTTATGAGCGTTTTTTTCCCGAAATCGCAGGCTGCAGACAGTGGGGTGCTCCTGTGTTGCTGGGGTGGTGCTTAGACTGTGGACGCCCCTAGATGTTTTCGACTTGCCTTTGCGGCGAGAATAAGAAATTTCTTGCGATCTGGAGCGATTCGCAGGACGGTACAAGAGTACTTGGTCAGCGGTAATCTGGCAGTGTTGCCTCTCGACTGTCTACACAGCGTGTCGGAGTCTGGTGTCATGGGAGTTGGCTATGCGGCGCGAGCGCTGATTGCTGAGGCAATCGCGCACCTGTGGCTAGAGGCCTTTCTCCCCTTAAACAGACTAACGGACGAGAAGGACCTCCTGGGGTGTCTCTACATTGCGACGCTTATTCGGAAGCTCCTCGTGGATGCCTTTATCCAGGTCCAAAATCCACGCATGCGCGCTTGCATGTGCCTCTGCTGCGGAAGCCTTCTTCCTCCCTTCGTTTCCTTGTTTCTTCGTTCTCCCCCCGATATAATATATATATTTTATACATTGTATATGTACATAAATATTGTATTTATGCCTGCCAGGCGTCCCTGTGCCATTTGTAATGGCGACGCTCCTACATGCCGCGTCGCTCTTTTGCTGGATTTCTGTGTCTGCGTGTTCTCTTCACTTGGCTCTCTGCTTTCAATTGTTCCTTCAAGATCCTCTTGTCTGCCTCGGATGCTCGCTTCTTCCCCTGCCTCGCTCGCGCACGCTGGCTGCTTTTTCTGCACTGTTTTTCTGTTCCCACCCTCCCTTCCGCAGCAGCTAAGGGGCCCCTTCCCATATCCGCGTGCTGCTGCGTCACTGCTGATTGTTCAACACACAGGCAAACTTCGGCTTAGTTGAGCTTCGAGTTCGACGATGGGAAAGGCTGCAACGCTACGCAAACCTCTGTGAATTAGGCCTGGAAGAGTTTCCAATCGACCCCGTGGGAGCTCTTGCCAGCAGTGCTGGCAGCGCTGGCGGGAGGTGCCAGCAGCAGCAGCAAACGCAGCAGCAGCAGCAAACGCAGCAGCAGCAGCAAACTCAGCAGCAGCAGCAACTGCAGCAGGCGCTGCCTCCAGTGGAGTGTCTGGTGTACAGCGAGATCTTTCATCTCAAATGCTATGTGGTGCTACATGCACTCGAAGCCCTATTGGCTTCCCAGTCTTTCTTACCCGACAACTTCCTGCGAACATTCTGCTTCACCGATTTCCTCGCAAAGTTCAATCGAAGAAGAGACCCTCCCCATAGCGAGCGCTTCTGGAAGCGGGTGCGATGTGTGGGTGCAGTTGATGCGTCTATCTCTGTGTGTGTGTGTGTGTGTGTCTATCTGTATGTGTGCGTGTCTATCTGTGTGTGTGTGTGTCTATCTGTCTGTGTGTGTGTGTGTCCATCTGTCTGTGTGTGTGTGTGTGCGTATTTGTGTGTGTGTGTGTCTATCTGTGTGTGTGTGTGTCTGTATGTGTGTGTCTATCTGTGTGTGTGTGTCTATCTGTATGTGTGTGTCTATCTGTATGTGTGTGCGTATCTGTGTGTGTGTCTATCTGTGTGTGTGTGTCTATCTGTATGTGTGTGTCTATCTGTGTGTATGTGTCTATCTGTGTATGTGTGTGTCTATCTGTCTGTGTGCGTGTCTATCTGTGTGTGTGTGTGTGTCTGTATGTGTGTGTCTATCTGTCTGTGTGTGTGTCTATCTGTCTGTGTGTGTGTCTATCTGTATGTACGTGTCTATCTGTATGTACGTGTGTCTATCTGTATGTACGTGTGTCTATCTGTATGTACGTGTGTCTATCTGTATGTACGTGTGTCTATCTGTGTGTGTGCGTGTGTCTATCTGTGTGTGTGTGTCTATCTGTGAGTCGAAGTCTGTTTTTTGCGTGCGTGGTGTTTTGAAGACGGAGGGTAATGCTGCTGAGCAGCGCCTCGATCCATGATGACGCTGTCTGTGCATGCGCGGTTCTGAAGCGAAATGCCTTTTCTGCGGCTAGCCGCTTGTTCGGAATCTTGTTGGTTTAGCCTGCATATCCTTGAGGCTTCCCTCTGAGTTTATAGAGAGCGAGCAGCAAGGCCATCAATTCTAATCGCTCGAAAAGCAGCTTTTTCCCCGTAACACGTGGATTTTTCTGTGCGCTTGCGCTTGCAGCTTCTCATCGAAATTACAGCCGTATACGTCTCCTACTGGAATAAGAATCCGCAAACAAGAGCCTCTGGTAAAGGGCTTCTTCGCATGAAGGGGGGAGCTCGCGTGAAGGGAGGCCTTCAAGGGCTTGAGCTCATGGAATCCACACCCGATGAACAAATCAACGCGCAAGTCGGTGCCAGCACCTCTTCGCTTGAATAGTGCACTACCAAGCCTTCAGAGCAGACACTTTTACCGAGGGGATGCAGTGTGTGTCTCTCCCGAGAAGGCGCCTCTGCGCAAGAAGCGGCAGCAGCGGCTCTTGCCTCCATGGCTTGCAGAGGGGAAGGCACAGCCTTAAGGCTGTGGTTGTGTGTTGTGGCTCTTGTAGGAGCATGAGGCTCTGACGCAGCTCGAGGAGGGTTTGCAGCTTTTCAAAAGCGCCTTCGTTTGTGGAACGGGGTGCCCTCAGCTTTCGCTGTCCTTTGTGCTGCAACTGCAACGCAAAGGATCCGCAATGGATCTCTTTGCCTTCGAGCTGGATCTCCTCGCGCTCCAGCCACCACCTCCCCTAACAGAACCTCTGCAACCCCACAGACAGCAGCAACAGCAACAAGAGCAACAAGCGCAACAAGCGCAACAGCAAACGAATTCCCCTGAAGCACCACAAACAGACAAGGCTGGCATTTCCCTCTTCTACCCAGCAGGTATCCCTTGTGCCTCGAGTCTGATAGGCACTACGTGCATGTCTGTATATCTCCTTTAGTTCGTCGTCTAGGCCACCAGGAGTAAACAAACTCAAAAACGCGTGTTTTCCCAGTGCATGCATGCGTGTAGCCACAAGGGCCTTTCCAAGAAACTCGGCATGGATGCAACCTTCGAAAGGATTTCTTCTCCACCTCCCGCAGATATATATATATATATGTGTATGTGTATGTGTGTATTATTTAGGTACGTGTGTATTATTTGTGTGTATGTGTACGTGTGTATTATTCGTGTGCATGTGTATGTGTGTATTATCTGTGTGTATGTGTATGTGTCTATCATTTGTGTGTGTGTGTGCGTGTGTATTGTTTGTGTGTGTGTATGTGTATGTGTGTATTATTTGTGTATGTGTGTATTATTTGTGTGTGTGTATGTGTATGTGTGTATTGCTTTTGTGTGTGTATGTGCATTATTTGTGTATGTGTTTGTATTATTTCTCTGTGTATTTGTATTATCTGTGTGTGTGTAACATGTGTATGTATGTGTCTACCATGTGCATGTATGTGTCTACCATGTGTATGTATGTGTGTAACATGTGTATGTATGTGTATAGCATGTGTATGTATGTGTGTAACATGTGTATGTATGTGTATAATATGTGTATGTGTGTGTATAACATGTGTATGTATGTGTCTACCATGTGTATGTATGTGTATAACGTGTGTATGTGTGTGTGTAATATGTGTATGTATGTGTATAACATGTGTATGTATGTGTATAACATGTGTATGTGTGTGTATAGCATGTGTATGTATGTGTATAATATGTGCATGTGTGTGTGTAATGTGTGTATGTATGTGTATAGCATGTGTATCTATGTGTATAACATGTGTATGTATGTGTATAACATGTGTATGTATGTGTATAGCATGTGTATGTATGTGTATAACATGTGTATGTGTGTGTGTAATGTGTGTATGGATGGCTGCTCAGACCTGGGAGGACTTGGCGCGTTCAACCTGTGGCAGGCTCAGGAGATGGCGAGCAGCGATCGAGGAGAATTGTCTCTTCGCATGGCAGCTGGCAGTCCCCTCCACCCCGCTGTCTCTTCATGGGAAGCCCTCCTTGTGCGTCTCCTTTGGCCAGCGCTGCTAAGACCGCATCGCCACAGCAGCAGCAGCAGCAGCAGCAGCAGCAGTGTGAGTTTCAGCGGCAGTCTGTTGCACAGGGGAATTTTCAGCAGCGAGACGCTCCCCAGTTCTACCATCTCCTTGAAGGAGAGGCTGAAAGTATTCCAGGGATTGCACGATCCGGTAGACGTTGTGGGGAGAGACGGAAACTTCATCTTAGGGTTTGGCTACGTTGGCGATATCCCTGCTCCCCTTAATGCTGGCAGGGGGCCCCTTTGGCAGGCTTTGCAAGAAGCTAAAAAGCGTTGCATGCAAAAGCAGCAGCAGCAGCAGCAGCAGATGTCGGAAGAAGATCCCAACGATCAGGCAGGCGATGCATTCGCCGCAGTTTGCGTCGATAACGAACGCGGTAAATGGACATCGACCTTTCATGTACACATATATATAGATGTATATGGATGTATATGGATGTGTATGGATGTGTATGTATGGATGTATATATATCTATAGATGTATATATGTATGGATGTGCCTGAAAGCCTTTCTGGTATTTGCATATCTGTACGTTCAGTTAAGGGTCCTGCTTACTGTAGAGCTAGAATTTGTGTATCTATATATATGTACACATATATATATATATATATACATATATCTATATATCTGTATGTATATTTGTGTGTGAATATAAGTATGCCTGTATAATGTATGCATGTATGTGTGTTTATGTGTGTTCAAATGTTTATATGTTTGTTTATGTGTAGATATGTATGTACCATGGGTATGTGAATATATGTGTATATATGTGCGTGTTCATGTATATGTATATATATATATATATATATATATATATATATATATATATGCATATGTGTATTTTGTACATGTTGACGTACATGTGAATGTATGTCCACATGTGTATTCAAGTGAATGCATTTGAATAAAAATATGTATATATGTATATGTTTATATGTATGTGTACTTGGATATGTGTGTGTTTTGTACATGTGCATTTGCATACATATACATATATACATATACATATATATATGGATCTCTAACTCTCTCTCTCTCCATGTATGCGTAAATTCATAGGTGGTTGTGTATGCGTGTATGTATGCATGTGTATATGTGTGTGTATGTGTGTGGTTTGGGGGTGTCTGTACAGCTCCTCCTTCAGTGCCGGTTGCGACAACGGGGGGCCTTCCCATGTGGTCTCGGTTGTTGCAGCAGAGAGATTTTCTTTTGCGATTGCGAGCATCCAGCGGCAGAGCGCCTTGGAATCGCAGTGTTGGGGTGTATGTACATTCTGTGCCCCCCGCGGCTATCCCCGTTTCGTTTGTTGGCGAGCTCTTTCCCGAAGCTGCAGAAGGGCTAGGACCTGGCAGCGCTTTCAGCAGCGGTGTTAGCAGCGAGGATGCGTGTTGCTGTCGCATGCTCGAAGACGGTGTGCTGCAGTACACTGGCATGCGGATAGCGCCTCCCTCTGCACCTGTGCAGCAACAGCTGCTGTCTCTACAGCAGCCTTCTGCGTACTTGTGTTTGTCCTCCGGCTTTGAGAAATACTGGCTCCCCGCCTTGCAGCTGCAAGTAGTCGATGACGATCTCATAAGAGGCAGCACGATCAAGCTGAAAGAGGGGGCACTGCCTCTCAGATTCGCCATTGACGCAAGGGCAGAACGTGGACGGTGAGAGAAGGAAGGAATGGAGGGGAAGTTCCTTCGCGCGCTGAAAATGCAAAAAGCTCTCCGTATTTCGAGCTGCAGCGTGCTGCTGCTGGGGCAAGCATCACGCGTTGGAAGGGGGAGAAGCAGGTGGCTGCAAAAGTAGCGGAAGCCACGATGGCAGTTTTTTTCCCACGTCTTTCCGCGAGCAATTCGCGTCTCCGAATCGTTTGGCGTGCAGTCTCGCGGTGAAGCGTGAAAAGGCGCATGAGTGTGTGGCTGTCTGCTGCGAAACAGGAAAAAAGTCGCGATGAAAGGTGACAGAATGCTGCACGGTCCCAACAGCAGCAAAGTCCTCATGAAGGCAGCAGCAGCTGCTGCCGCAGCCACAGACGCGCCAGCAGCAGCAGCAGCAGCAGCTGCTGCTGCTGCTGCGCAAGCAGCAGCTACAGCAGAAGGTCCTGAAGCCTCAGGAGCGAGGAGTGCTGCGGGAGGAACGGCCACTGGCGATCGCATTACCGTAAGTTTTTTCTCTCTCTGTCTCTCTCTCTCTGTCTCTTTCGTTTAAGTGCGTAGCAATTGCAATTGTCTCGAGAGCTACGCAGCATGTTAGCCACCCACCAACTTTCAGATCTTGCGAGGGCACAAAACGAGCAGCACTGCGAGCGGCACACGGCAAATTCAGAGACAGGTGTTCTATTCAACTCTAACCTGATGGCGTCTTGTCGTGGCACAGCTGCCAATTTTATGATCAGCGCGTTCCGAGAGGCACTTGTTCATGTGTGAAATGTATGTGCATGTACGTACGTGCATATGTATAATTGGAAGTGTATGTATGAATGTAAATATATGTATATATATATGTATTTATGTGTATATGTATGTACGTATATGTATGTATATATACATACATACACACACACATATATGTGCGTGTATGTCTTGTTATTTCTTGCAGTTTGCAGGCGTTCTGAGCAGCAGCGATCGCGCCTTATTCGAGTCACTCAAGCGGTGTGTGCTCCAGCGGCACCCCTCTCTGCTGTCTTTGGATAACAGATCATTGGTAGCAAAAGTCAACAGCAAGACGAAGCTGCCTGTACTGTGGATTCGAGCAGATCCTTATCAGGCGTGGCCTGCCAGGTGAGCTCAGAAACGGAACGCTGTCTTGCTGAGACTTCTGAGGTGTTTTCTTCTTCTGAAACAGTCCTGAGGGAGGAAGGGGGGATAGGGTTCGGTCGGGAATTATGCCTTTAGCTGGCAGTCTAGAGGTGCAACAGTCGGCGTGTGTCGAACAGGGTGTTGCAAAGAAAGCGCACATGGCAGGCAACGCTGAAAAAGACTGGGAAAATACATAAACGCCTTCGCTTTACCAGGGGCGGAGCATTTGGAATTGTCTTGATGGGGGTTCGCATGCATGCATGCATGCATGCATGTGTGTGTGTCTATGTGTATGTATGTGTGTTTGTATGTATATATATTTGTGCGCTGCATGTGAAAGAATCCGTCGCTGCCAGAGTGGCTCCATGTGGGAGCAGCAGATGCTGTCGGAAACTTCGGTTGCTTCCCAGCTGGAAGCTGCGACTGCGTTGGGCTCTCTTCTTCCAGTAGCTGAGCCTCATGGGGGACTAAGTGGAGAGGATCCTGTGGCAGCGCATGCAATTAAGGCCCTCAGCACCGCCATGGCTGCTCACAGATCTCACCCCTTTCTGAGGTGTGTGTGTATGTCTGATAAATAATATATATATATATATCTGTCTCTGTCTCTGTGTTTGTGCGTGTCCGTGTGTCTCTCTCACTGTCTCTGTATCTCTTTCTCTGTCTCTCTAATTCTCTCTCTCTGTCTCGCTCTCTCTCTAACTCTCTCTCTGTCTCTCTAACTCTCTCTCTGTCTCTGTCTCTCTCTAACTCTCTCTCTCTGTCTCTCTCTGTCTCTGTCTCTCTAACTCTCTCTCTTGGAGCTCTCCCGCCAAGTTCTCCCTCCCCAGTGTGTAGACGATAGTAGACTCAAGAAAGCCCTCGCCGCATTGCCGATGTGCTTTGAGAACTATTCCAAGGATCAGCATGCAAGTGCAGCTTGGCATGTGTTGCTGCGTATGTTGCAACAACAGGGCACGTGCAGCGTATGCACTTTGCAGACTGCAAAACGCATGCAGCGAAGAGAGCTCTGAGGCGTGGAATGCCATCGCCAGATACATTGCGTCATTTCATAGCGAAGCCGTGCTCGAGGTAAGGCAGCAAGACGAAGAGAACGCAACAAACATTGGAAGCCTCGTTGCTCGTTGCTGGACCCTACTTAGCGTGCATGCAAAACAGTGGGTGTTGTGTGTGGAGGGTGGGCTTGCGAGGTGTTTGGGGCTTCTGCATGCGAAAGTTTTTGTTACAGGCTGACGTGAACGAAGTCGTTTCGCCTCCACCCCCCTTAGAGGCCTTGGCGTCGGGGGACGGAGACTTCAGTGCAGCAGCAGCAGCAGCAGCAGCAGCAGCAGCAGCAGCAGCAGCAGCAGCAGTTGCCACTGCCTCAGGACAGCCTGCAGCGGGAGGAAGCCAGGGGAAAGGCACTCAAGGAGAGGCTTTGCGGCTGTCAGATTACGCCTGCACTGGACCTGAGAGTCGCTTTTTGCGGCACTTCTACGCGGCAGCTTCCCTCGTCAGAGACTCTAAAGGACTGTATGGCTTCCTGCTGCATCTGCTTGCATGCGGTCGACGGTGGCTGCACTGTTGCGGCTTTTTTCGTGGTGCTTTCGCTAGCTGCCATCGAGCAGTGTTGGACGGCTGTGCTTGCCCTGCTGCGTGTCGGTGTTTTCTCCACAGTGGCAGCTACTCTCGCAGTCGCTCAGCTCCTGTGTGCTTGCGTGGCTGCGCAGATCTCCCCCTGCGGCTATAGATTTCCTGCTGCAGCCGCTGCAGCAAATGGAAGTCGCATCATCTGCATCCGACATCTCGACCCTCATGTCTCTAGGCGCCTCAGTAGTGGACTGTCTAGGCAACCTGAGGTGGCCGTACACCCCATATCCAGCCCACGCTGAGGCGAGACATCCGTACTTCGCATTCGCCAAGGTACGAACAACACCCGCTATCTGCGTCACGCAGCGGAATGTGATACTATTACTACCATCACTACTGCTACTACTGGTGCTTTCTGCTGCGACAGCACGACCAGCGATCTCGCCGAGCGCAAAAGAGAAGGGGGCACTCCGAACGCGCCTCTTGCAAGGATTTCATGCGCCTCTCTCCTAGGCAGCGTTTCTGCTGATGCGACTCTGCAGACTGGCTATCTGCTGCCTTCCGCTGGCAGTGTGGATGGCAATAGGAATATCAAGGGACTGTCTTCTGTGTTTACCGCGCAACCCCCCCCTTTTGGCCCTTCTTGCGGCTGCTCGTGTGCGGCGATGGTGGACGCGGATTTTTCCGCCGCATTTGGAGCAGACGAAAGCGGAGGGAGGGGAGGCGTGAGAGAGAGCATGATGAGCGATGCGGCGTGGGAAGTGTTTGTCCTTTCGAACTGCCGCGGGCTGAAGATGGCTTGGATAGACGCTTGGCGTCTCTTCCGACTAGACACAGTCAAGGCTCTCGCTTCCCCCCGAAAGGTAAACGCGTGAATGGCAACGGGGAGAAACGGGAGGGAGGGACGAAGGGGGAGATCTCTGTGCGGCATGAAGGCTCACTTAGAGGATTGAGGGGCTGGTGCATGCAGATGCACGGCAGCCTCAATCCTTGAAGAGGTAGAGAGACAGAGAGAGACAGAGAGAGACAGATAGACAGATAGAGAGAGACAGATAGACAGACAGAGAGAGACAGATAGACAGACAGAGAGAGACAGATCGACAGACAGAGAGAGACATCTTGTGAGGGCAGCAGTCGAGTTAGGGCAGGGGAGAGACTGCTGTTTTTTGCTGAGATAGAAGCCGAAGCAGCTAGCCGCAGCTGAGAGAGACAAGAGAAGACGGCGACGCTGCAGCCACAAGGGGGCTTAAAATTAGTCCCCGCAGCAGCTGGCTGCACACGTAGGAGGTGACTGACTTGGCTGAAGGGCATCTCTAGAGGGGGCAGTTCGAAGTCTCCCGCAATATGTGGCAGTGTCGCTGCAGCAGCAGCCTCTCTGTTTGCGCTGCCATTGTTGCTGCCGCTGCTGCAGGAGATGACGTGTGGCTTTCTACGCGCTATTAGCCGCAATGCTGTTTTACGGGATTTGACACGTCGGAGATTCGTTGGGGGCACTGGAGAAAGCACCTCAGATGCCACTTACGCGCTCTCAGAGGCTGGCAGTAGCGCCGTGGGGGGGAGGAAACAACCCTTGGTGCTAGATGTGGTCAAGACTGGCTTTTCGCCGCAGCCTCAGACCTCACCGCTTGCGGAGTGGCATGCAGAATTTGAAGTGCCTTTCGACTTCCTGCATTTCATGGGGTGCCCCCTGCAACGCGAATTCCTCGAGAGCATAGCGCCTGCGGCAGCCGAAGTGCTGCTTGCCTACGACAGCTCTCTGGTGCCTACACACTGCTACTTGTAGAGAGCAGGCAGAGCTGAGCACAGCCATCGGCCCTCTCGCCGCCTCTTGAGAGAGGGATGCTGCCACGCATGCACGCGCGGGTGTAATCCGCAAGGGCAGTCTGCATGCGCGCTGGCGTGATTTTGCAGGTGCAAAGGGAAGCCCGTGCAGCCTTGCTGAAGGTTTGCTGCGAGGGAGCCGTCCGCGTGTACAGAGTGCCAGTTTTCCAAAATGCAGCAGCAGCAAAAGGAAGCGCTAGGAGGCAGCCTCCCCCTCAGCAACAACAGAACCAGCAACAAAAACACCAGCAGGAAAAAAAACAGCCGTGGTGCCTCATTTCAAAGTTCGTGACGCCTGAAGAACAAGTCTTGAGAGCGCAGGTGCGGCCATACTTTGACGGGTGTTTCTTACGGCACTGGCAATGCAGCACCTCGCTGTGCCGAGAAGGCTCCGCTAGCTTTCTGCCGCCTTGGCGATATTTTCTTCGTGTGTCTCCGATTTAACGGCGATGCTGTGCGTATCAGGTTGGCGTTGGCATCTACACGGCGCTGCAAGTGGCTGTCTGCTTAGACACCCCTGTGGGAGATCCGCAGGGGTGTCTTTGGGCAAGTTTGCTGCAGCTGTTGCAGGAGCTTAGGATTGCGAATCCGATGCTCTTTCTTCCCTTCTCCGCGCATGCGCCAGGCCTCTTGCTCCCCGAGAAGGGGGAGATCAAGTCGAAAGCAGAAAACAGCAAAGAAAAACTGCTGCAGCACAAGGATCAGCAGCATAAGCAGCATCAGCAGCATTTCAAGCATGAGCACACTCTCGAGCAGCAGCCTCAAGTGTGCTGTTTGCTCGGGTGCCTTGGCAGCCACTGCGACGTTAGCCCTCCCCCGTCTGCCTCGGCCGTAGCGCTGCACAATCATCTTGTGGCTGTGGGGTGTTTTGTTGCTCGTGCATGCAACACTTTGTTGCACTGTCACATGCAGCAGCAGCTGCAGCGCCTGCAGCTGACAGCCAGTGCGTCGTCAAGTTTGCAGCATCTCTCTCAAGTTCGCAGTTTTCTCTTCGGTGTGGGAACAGCGCCTTGCTGGCTGCCGTTACAAAGAGAACTTGCTGCCTCCCTCTGCAGGAGGCGCTCCTGCGCAGCAGCGACTTCTGCCCCTTTCGATCCGGGAGCAGCTGCAGGGGCAGCCGCTTTTGCTGCATGCGCTGCGCCTGATATCTGTGTGCCTCCCCAAACAGCAGCAGTGCTTCCCCCCCCGCTTCCGCTTCGCTTCCCTTCGTCCGCAGTGGCAGCAGCTCCTCCGCTTCACGGCAAGGGCGGGAGGCTCGTGGTACATGCGCCATGCGTGTCTGTGATATCGGGGTACTTGACGTTTCCTCGCAGCGGAAGTCGCCAGCAGAAGATGTGGCGATTCAAACGCAAGTACATCGACAGAGCAGATCCTGGCTGCGACTGGGTAGCCGTTGCTCTCGACGCAGTAGCTGCACTTCTGGAGTTGCCAGAGGCTGCCTGGTTCTCCCCCGATCCGGAGACTACGGCTGTTGGATACAGATCCGTGATTGCGGAGCCCATGTGGCTGCGGAAAGTGCAAGCGAGACTCAAGGCAGACTTGTATGCCCTCCCCTACCACTTCAAGCAGGATGTTGCCCTCATCTTCAAGAACGCAAGACACTTCAACGCGCCTCACGACAGAGCCTACAGGGACTGCTGCGTGTTGGAACAAAAATTCAATGCGCTGTGGGCTCCCATCAACGCAGCCTTCCAGAGAGCTGCGCGGTACAAGCGGCAGCAGCAGCAGCAGCAGTCTCAGCAAGCCACGCACCAACAGCAGACGCCGCAAGAAGAAACGGCTCAGAGTCATGAGGAACTCCCCAATTCCGAAAAGACGTCCCTCACCCCTGTCGATGACACTGCGGCTATCTCCAAACACACCTCCACCAGTCCAGACGCTGCCTCTGCCACGCAAAAAGAAGAATTCGTGCCGCTCTCAACTGACCATAAACTGTTGCAACAACAGACAGAAGCACTCCCGCAGGAACCTCGAGACGCAGTACTGCCTCCCTACGCACCGCATGCTGCCCTCAGCGAGACAACCACACGGGATGCACAACTGCAACAACAGCAGATGCAGCAGCAGATGGTGGAGATGCAGCAGATGCAGGAGCAGCAGCAGGAGATGCAGCAGTAGCAGCTCCTACGGGGGATCTGGGTGCAGGGGAAGTGTACAGTAACAGCGGGACCAGCATGAGATCCATTTTCCCGTCATATATCTATATCTATAGGCGCAAATAGAAAAAAAATGGTTTACATTGGGTAAAAGCGAGTTTTCGTACGCCTACTCTGACAAAAAGGCAGGCAAAATGTGTTGGTTGCGACCCCTTCAAAAGTTTAGAGGTTCTTGCATCTAGTTTACGTTCACACAACGCCTTGAGGTTCTATTGGGGTTGTGTTTAGCGAGTGTGTTGTTTAAGAGCTTTCTTCGTCCTGCTCTTGACCCTCCGCAAGGGCCCCTGTTGTAAAAGCGGGTAGCAGGAGCTCGAAGCCTGAGGTGTACAGACACCACTGCCGCTGTTGGAGTTCATGCAACGGCACATCGTACCACAAGTCTCGCATCTCCTCAGGACCTTCCAGGAGATCATCTTCGATGCTCCTGCGGCCAAATCACTCGCAATTGCACTTCGGTTTGTTGCTTTCAGTAGACTGTCAGGAGTGTTACGGGAGTTGGTCTTTCAGAGAGTGCTACTGATGGAATCGCTATCCGTCTCCCAGCCCTTGGAAGGAGCCTAGCGCCTCTTTCACTCGGTAGCCGCAGTCCACGGCACAAACATACATAAATAGGTGCATAATAATACATAGCACATACATACGTACATAACTAGATGCACAAGCATGCATACATATACATACATGCATAAACATACATATACATACATGCACAAACATACATAAATAGATGCATAAACATGCATAAGCATACATACATATTATGTATATACAAAGCGGGCAGAAGAACAAACAAAACAAGAGATCATCCCTACCGTTGAATTTGTTCATCCTGAGCAGCTCTCAACCGAGGATCCTCTGCAGCCTTCTGATTGAGACGGCGTGCTGCTGCGGCAAGGCTACTGAGGCTGGCACTGCCGTCAGTCTCAGCGTGCTGCCGAGTATGCGCAAGCGAAAACTCAGAGGAATCCTGCATCACCCGAAAGTGTCGTGGAGAGGGCAAGAGTGGAGAGCACTGCGCCAAAAACTTCCCAACAAAAAAGCCGCAAAACGTGCTGCATGCTGCATGCTGCACAGCGCAAACTCCCCGGCAGCTCCCGTAGAGGGTAAAACACGACTCACCGCGGCGACCGCTTCTAGCTGAGCCTCCACATGCCTCCCTTTGTGCTGTTGCACCTGCTCGTCTCGTCCGTATGTCTGTGCAAGAACGCTGAGGAAAGGCTGGAATGTTGCTGCCGCAGAGTTGCTTCCAGAGATCTCGCTGAGTGCCCTGCTGCTGCTCCTGCTGCTGCTCCTGCTGCTGCTTGTGCTTGCGCGCGGCAAGGCTGCATCCTCTGAGGAAGCAGAAGGCGTCTCTTGGCTGCTGCTCCTGCTGCCGCTGCTGTCTGTGGGTGCTGCAGCTGCCAGAGCTGCTGCGGCAGATCTGCCCGCTTCCCCTGCTGCTGGCACTGCAGCACTAGTTTCAGCGGCAGCCGTTGACGCGACCACGTTTTCTGTCGCTTTTTCTGCCTCTTTTTGGTGCTGGTGGCTGGAAGAATCGGTAGGCGCTGTGTCATCATCCTCCTGCTGGTCTTCAACGTGTGACGCAGCGGCTTGATCCTCGTGCATCTCTCGTGGAGAGCCCCTCTCCTGCTGCACCTGCTGCTGCTCATCCTGCGAGCTGTCTTCGAACGCTGTTGCCACTGCTGTGGGGTGGTCGGCAAGAAACATCCAGCGATACAGGGTGAAGTCGGGGAGCTCCAACAAAGTCGCAAGTTCAACCACCTTCAGTCCTGCACAAAGCAGGGACTGAGGCGTCTTGTGGCGTGCAGATGACTCTGCAAAAGGTGATGGAGAAGAAGTTTCCAAGGCTCCTGAAAACACTCTAATGAGCTCAGTCAACACAATCGGCCATACAGGTGTGCGAGATGCAGGCGGCAAACGCAGGAGCAACACGCGCACGCACAAAAAGACCTGCGCAATACACACACACACACATGTACACGTACGTAAATGCAAGTACAAAATACAAATACAAGCACACAAACCAATGCGTACTAATACTGCAAAGGAGCAAGCACGCAAACAAACAAACGCACGCATGCAGAAAAGCGAACAAAGAACTATAAACACAGCGTGCCACAAATTGCAGGTCTTGCACACAGGTGCTCGTCCGTATACGTGGAAAAATATGTATATATAGGTAGATGTATATACAGATAAAAATATATATACATATATCTCTATGTGCAGTGTAGGCAGTTAATGCAACTAGGGAGTTTTAACGCATACAGCGAAGAAAAACAGGGACGAAGCGCCACGGCTACACAGGCGGGAGGACAGCCCGTGGTGGAAACGTCTGAGAGCATGAAATGTGCAAGTGGCATGGAGAAAAGAGCAGGGAAGAAAGACGCTCTAGAGACGGCAGCATCCTGCAACATCCTCAGACATTCCTAGAGAGGCTTCCCCACAGGCGCAGCAGGCGGCGCTGCAAAAGCAGATAAGCGATGCACGTGGATTGGGGCAGACAGCTGCCTGCTGACATGTTTGGTAATCTCAACCGCAATATCTGGGGGATACGCAGGTTTGAGAGTTTCGGTGAGCTTTTCCAACAAGGAGGCAACATGCGCAGAGAAGGCTCCATCAGGCGCTGCTAACAACAAGAAGCCGATCCGACGCAAGTAGGCGATCCTACTTGATCCTTCACGCTCTCGCGAAGCAAACACCTGCAGCATCAGACAGTCAGATTTCGGCGTAGTGGCCATACTCCACATGCCAGGGAAGAAGAAGTCACTCCAAGGAGAGGCTCCCTCTTCTTCAAGGAGTGCTGTGGGGGTGTAGACAGCACGGAAAAAGGCGATGGTCTAAGAGCATTTGGCATGTCTCTCAGGAGGGTCGACGGGAGCAGGAGAAGGAGAGAGAGAGATAGAGATATATATATATATATATCGACAGAGAGAGAGACAGAGAGAGAGACAGAGAGATAGACAGAGATATATATATACATATATCGACAGAGAGAGAGAGACAGAGAGAGAGACAGAGAGAGAGATAGAGATATATATATACATATATCGACAGAGAGAGAGACAAAGAGAGAGAGAGAGAGAAATACAGAGAGAGACAAAGACAGATAGAGACATAGAAAAGGAAATCAATTTACTCCTGGGTTGGGGGGAGGTACAAGTGCATCGAGTTTAGCAGTTTCCGTGCCGAGGCTTCCTCTGAGAGCTGCCGCAAATGCTCTTAGAGTTCTTCTGTCGGTTGTGAGGAGATGCAATCCTTGCAACTCCTCCACGAGCAATCGTCGGACAGGAGAGGCAGCTGAAGGGAAGAGTCGGAGGGGCATGTCTCTTAAGAGACACATCAGCAGGTACCTAGAGAGGAAAGCCTAAAGAGACAGATACAGAAAGAGAGCAGCAGCAAAGACACACACATACACACCTATACATAGATACACACCTATACATAGATACACACCTATACATAGATACACACCTACACATAGATACACACCTACACATAGATACACACCTACACATACACACTTCGAAATCCAAATGCATAAACAAGGCACTGCCGCGGAAGGCGTGAGAAGGCCATGCGAATTGAGGAGCTCTAAGACAAGAACAAAGAACTGCTGGCTTCTTGCAGCGACTCATGCGAAATGCCGCTTCCATGGATGCAGACTTGAGGGAACGCTTTTCACCTGGGGAGAAGAACTGTGGAGAGACTGCGTGATGGCGCTGGGCAGCTCGTCGGTAAGCGTTTGGAGAAACAGGAGAGACAAAGGGCTCCTTCTGTTGAGCTGCTTTAGCTGCGCACAGCACAGCAAGCAAGCCTTCACAGAAGCTCCGCATCGACATGCCCCCGTATAGACACACATACTCACACACACAGACAGACGCGCTTGGGAGAGCCGCCGTGAGCCTTGGTGGATTCCTAAGCACTGTCGGATTCCGCTGTCTTTGAATTTCCTCTGAAAGACAATGAAAAGCTGGAAGGAGAGGCCTAAAGGGGAGGTGCCTCTTCAGGGAGTGCCACAGGAAGATCAAGATTCGCGATTTACGTCGGCGCATTGCATGGCGAGAGCTGCCAAGGCATAAACAGCAGCAACTTCCGTGGGATCAGCTGGGGAGCAGCGATTTGGCAGGAAGCGCCTCCGTAAAATCTCCTTATTTGCATCCGAAATGCAGCAAGACGCGGCAAATGAGGGGTGTCGCTGCTGCTGCCGTCGCTGGCGTAGCTCATGCAGGAGTAGCGCGCTCCCCCTGCTGCTGCTGCTGACCATAGTGCTGCTGCTGCTGATCATAATGTTGCTGCTGCTGTGGGTGCTATTGCCACAAGCCCTTGTGATATCCTCCTCGCATTCGGCTGCAGACGCTGCAGCGGCCATATTCTCCGATGCTAGTGCCCCCTTCCGTTCGCTTGCAGCTCCCGCTTCGTCAGCTGCAACGGCAATGCCAAGTGCTTGGTTCAAAATATCCACTGGGGGAGGGAGGGGGGGTATAACGTCGAAAGCATTGGGATTGGCTGCAGTAGTGACACGCTGCGTGAAGCAGCGGCAGCCGATGAGACAGCACAGTCGAAATAGCTCCTGCATGTCTCGCCGAACCTACAGCGCAGCGCACGACAAAGTCTGCGTCTTCGGGATATTGCGGTGTATGCTGTGGCGAGATGAGCGATCCTTGCACACCCTCCTACAGCCTTCTCTCAGCGCTCCCTGCAGATGTCGAAGGCTTTTGACGCAACTGTTGCAGCTGCCAAGAAGCCCACACGATCCACGCCAGCCTGTTAAAAGAAGCAGAAGGCTTACGCGTTTCGAGGCAAGAAAAGACTCTTTCGCAGGAGTCGTCCTGTCTAGGGTAGTTACAATACAAAAGATCCACAAGAGAGACAACGGCTGCTTGGGGGCAGAGATCCCCAACGATACAATGCGTGATACCAACTTCCATAAGCATTCCAGATCTGTTTCTGCAATGCTGCTGCTACTGCTGCTACTACTGCTACCTTCTGCTGCTGCCGCTGTCACCCCTAACGAGGGCATTTGATGCCTGCGCTGCAAGCAACAGGCTGAACTAGAGAGGCTCCTAAAACACACAAAGGGGGGGGGATATGCTGCAGCTAGCAGGGAGTAAATGAAATGATAGAGAACACTATCTCTTATCTTTGAAACTTCTGCATAGCCGGCCTGCTGCAGCAGCTTCTCGAGACTGTCTCTACCAGCAACCGCTGCAGCTGCTGCCGCTGATGATGATGTCGCTGATGATGATGATGATGTCGCTGGTGATGGTGATGATGTCGCTGATGATGCATCAGACGCGCTGCCTTCTGCGGTGTCTCCTCCAACTGCAGGCAGTGAGTTTTCTCTCGTGTTCGATGCTGCTGCAGCCCCTGCAACAGCAAACGGCGATAAGTGTAAAAGAGAGCCAGAGGTGTAGATACACGGGGATGCAGGAATGCTGATAACGCCCTTCGCAGCGTCTTGAAGGAGGCCAAGCAGAGGCACCAGCAAATATCTGCAACACACCACGCCACAAATTCACACACCGCTGCAGCAATCCGTTTCCTCCAGCTCGCCTAGGAGAGACGCCACATGCACCACTCGATCTACCCTTTTGAAACTACTCCCTCATTAGATATGCAATGCGATAGGGGCACCGATGTAAAGCAACATGTACTGCTATCCGAGTTCAAGAAAAATTAAGAGTATCAAAGCTTTGTTTCAACATATATATATATGTATAGATTTAGAGCTTTGGAGCAACATAGATATAGATTTAGAGCTTTTTCAAAGTAATGCATATATATATGTCTAGTAGGAGAGCTTTAGAGCAACATACACACACATATATATATGTGGTATCAGAGGTTTAGAACAAAATATACAGCCTAGAAGTTTTTGCGAGCCACATGTTCTTAGTAGAGAGGGGTTCCCACGCACTTGAGCTTGGCTCTGCGCATGAGCCGGAGAAGAAACAAAAGACTGCGAAGATTTGCGACGTCGGATGAAAGGCTTCCGCTGGAGATTGCCACACAGCTCGTTGCGAATCGGCGAGGAAAGCTGAAGCGCAGCACGCCAACGCGGAGGCGCCCAGCTGAAATGATCAGCCACCCCGAGGCTCCCTTTGCACTATTTTCGCTTCGCAAGAACGCAGTCTGACTGTTGTAAATATTTCCGTTGCAAGCTCTGGATGTGCAGCAGACTGTCTGTCAACGCTCAGCTCTTGCACCCCTCCCGGATTCGCAATATACGAAGCTCGTTCGCGGCTCTTGTGTTACCTGATAAAGAGGCGGTCAAGAATCTGGCGTATCAACAGCAGCGCTGCTTCGTCCGCGTGCGTAAGATGCGTGTCTTGGCAGTTTTGCAACGTTTGCCCTTCGCTGCCGCAGTCAGTGTACACTCCCCCATCCGCTGGCACCAGCATGCGAGCACTCAGCAAGTCTTCAGCGTCGTGAAAACCTTTTTCCTTCCAAGAGGAGAAAGCTTGCGCAGCAGCAGCATCGTCCTCTTCCCCCTCGCGCTGCTGCTGCGTGGAGGGAGGCAGCACAAGAGTGGCTGCGGCAACGCATGCGGAGACGATCATATGGACTGCAGCAGCAACAGCGGGTAGCCGTTGCTGCAGCTTTTGCTGCAGCAGCTCCTCGTCGCTCACAGAAGTACTGCTCCACGAGAAAAGATCTAAGAACGGGGTTATGCCGCCTGCACAAAAGCCGCAACGATCGCGCAATGCATCCTTCTGAGATACTTCGAAAGCTGTCTGAAGCGTGGCAGCAGCCTGCTAAGAAACGCCTGACACACAGACACATCTCAAAACGCAAGGCACGCGAGGAGGGAAAGCAGCGAGCGCAGGGAGGGGGCTCATGCGAGGCGGTTCAAAGGGTGAAGGATGTACTGCTATCCGAAGGCGACTCCTTAGAGAGCTCCCCCTTAGACACTGTGTCGAGAGAAAATGTTAAAACTCCATGAATCCCCCTCAAATACGGCAGGAGCATCTGCGCTCCCATGCTGCGGCACTGTCTACTGCTGCTGCTGTTGATGTCGACGTTTCTGCTGCCAAAGAAGCCCTTTTCTTGGCGCTGCTGCTGCAGCTCCGTGCAGCAGGCAACAGCCGCGCGCAGCAGCACACGGCAGTAGAAATTCAAAAGAACCACTGACACTGGCTGAAGCTGGACTGGGGGCAGGTGTCTGTAAAGCGGCAGCAGCACCAACAGCAACAACAACAGATCAAACACATCTACATACAACCCATCTACATACAACACATCTACATACAATACACATCTACATACAATACACATCTACATACAACACATCTACATACAATACACATCTACATACAATACACATCTACATACAATACCCATCTACATACAATACACATCTACATACAATACACATCTACATACAATACACATCTACATACAATACACATCTACATACAACGCACATACATACAACACACATCTACATACAACCCACCTACATACAACACATGTACATACAACACATGTACATACAATACACATCTACATACAACACATCTACATACAATACACATCTACATACAACACACATACATACAACCCATCTACATACAATACACATCTACATACAATACACATCTACATACAATACACATCTACATACAATACACATCTCCATACAATACACATCTACATACAATACACATACATACAACACACATACATACAATACACATCTACATACAATACACATACACACAACACACATACATACAATACACATCTACATACAATACACATCTACATACAATACACATCTACATACAATACACATCTACATACAATACACATACATACAATACACATCTACATACAATACACATCTACATACAATACACATCTACATACAATACACATCTACATACAACACATCTACATACAACACACATACATACAACCCATCTACATACAATACACATCTACATACAATACACATCTACATACAATACACATCTACATACAATACACATCTACATACAATACACATCTACATACAACACACATACATACAATACACATCTACATACAATACACATCTACATACAACACACATACATACAATACACATCTACATACAATACACATCTACATACAACACACATCTACATACAATACACATCTACATACAATACACATCTACATACAACACATCTACATACAATACACATCTACATACAATACACATCTACATACAATACACATCTACATACAATACACATCTACATACAATACACATCTACATACAACACACAGAACATGACGGCTACAGGTTTAGCACAGAAGAGAGCGGAGGCGGTAAAAGAATATTGCTACAGTCACCACGACCTCACTGTAACAAGAAGAGCGAAAGCTGCGTGGCTTCGTCGATTGCTGCGTCTCTTGCTGCTGCGGTGGCTGCAACTGCTGTTTCGGCTCCTCCAAAGTCTTCCGCGCGCATCGCCATCAGCAAACACCGCAGCAGTCCTCCGAAATCGCTGCTTAAGGGTGTAAGGCGCTCAAGCTGCATGCATGCGCACATACTTCGATTGCAAAGGCTGTCGTTATCCCCTGCTATCTAAAGGACAAGTGGCGGCTAGCCAAGTGTAAAAACGGATGAAAAGAGGCGCAGAGACGGTGCTTTTGCGTGGTGATGTTGATGCTGCCTCGCACACGTTTTAAAGCATGAAACGCAGCCAGATCCGCTGGCTGCGTTTCAGAGGACAAACGTCATCAAGCGCGAAAGGCAGACAGAGAGACACACAGATATAGACATGTAGACAGAAAGGTACCACTACTGGACAGACACATACGGTAGACAGAGAGAAGACATACGCATAAAGCCTCCTAAAGCAATTTCCACTCGCCACCAAACCCAGTAAGACTCCCCTGTAGGCGTAATGTGTTGGTCAAGAGCAATACATAGGGGTGGACGTGAATGTAAGTGTATGTACCTTTGCCTTCATTTGCTGCACCCCTAGAGCGAACAAGGGGAAATGCTGCTGCTGCGGCTGCTGCCGAAGCGAGAGAGCCGCTGTGTCTGCTGTTGTGGCTGCCACTGGAGATCCAACAGCAGCCTCAGCAGGAGCAGAAGCTTGGCGACTCTGAGGCAGTTGCTGCCGCAAGAGCTGCTGCAGCTCAGAGTCGCTGCTGTTGATGAGGTTCCGGCTTGCTGGGGAGAATCCAGACGCTTGCTGACTCGAGTGCACGATCACTACGCGCAACAGCTGAAGAAGCTGCGACTGCAGCAGGGGTCGAAAACAACACAGACCACCCATGCAAGCAAGCTGCCAAAGACGCCTGCGTTAAAGCGGCAGTAGCAAAAAGAGCAGATGCAAAAAGCTCACTCCCGAGAAAAAAACCTCTAAGCGCGCTGGTCCCTTACTTGCGCGGCGTAGTCTTCCGAGTGAACAGCGGCGTGGAGTCTCTCCACCAGCGCGTGGGAGAGAAGACAGCTGATTTCCCTGGCTCTCGCGGCAGGCTGTACAGCTGCCAAGAAAGATGCCAGCAGCTCGCAGGCAGAGCCGTGCAGCGCTGCAAAGCTGCTTCGTGCAGCAGCTGCAGCAGCTGCAGCCCCCTGCATGCCATACATGCCTGCCGAAGTCGCTGCGAGGCATTCCTCAGCGAGCACTGCAGGCGGTAACTGGAAGGAAATAAAGCGCAACAGAACGACGCAAAACAAATCCGCGTAATCCACAATCGAGACGTCATTGTACGTCCATTGGCGCCAATCCATGCCTTCTGAACCGCCATCTTCATGCGGCATGCATGCGGATTGCCGCGCTTGGGCTGCGCACGGATACGCAAACAAGCGCCGCAAGAAGTATTCCTAGGCAGTCTGCGGTTCCGGATGCTGGTGCAAAGAGCTGTTAAAAATTTCACGCTGGCTGCTGGAGGAAAAAACGAGTTTTTTATTTCAGCGCCCTCCTACCGCTGCACGGCACGGTTGTTTTTACCCGTTTTTGGAGATTGCGCCCACAGTTGCGCCTGCGCTGCGTTGCTTTCGAGGAGATCCTCTTCCACATAAAATGCTTGCATTTTTTCCAGCAGCAGAGGTCCTTCGAACTGCAGCAGCAGCTGCAGCAGCTCTAGCCCTCTGTGTGCCACTTCAGTGGCTTCGGCTGCAGCAGCAGCTGCTGCTGCTGCGCCTTCCCGCTGCAACTCATGCTCTCGCGCAGCAGTGGCAGGCTGCGGTAACGGAGGAGGAGCACTCAGGATATCGTCAAACACAGGTCGAAGAAGCTGCGGAGCCGAGTCTAGCGCCAACCTCACAAACACGCGAGCTGCATACCTGAAAATCACAAAAAATTCCACAGCAGCAGCCAAGCGACGTAGCTACACCCCAACACCCCGAAACTGCAGTGTGTGGGTACAGACAAATATATAGATATACATATATATATGTATATATATATATATACATGTCTATATACACCCCATGGCTCCACAGCGGCGTAAAGCGATATTCGCGGCTCATGAGAACCCTCTACTCCCTCTGGTAAAGCTCTGCGCCAACTGACATGTGCCCTTGCGGCGAGAACTGCAATGTTTCCACTGGCAACATCAACATCAGCGAAAAATCTCGCAGCCCACGTATTTACCGAATATCCGGGAAGGCGTCACCTAAGGCTCCAAGCAGCTGCAACACAGCATTAGGCAAGAGCAGACCTAGGGGTCGATACACCTGAAGTCGTGCATGACGCCAGAAGGCGCTAAACCTCCAGATACTCTCTGCCTTGCTGCTGTTGGTGCTGCTGTCTTGAAGGCTTGCCAGAATCACCGACTCAATTACCGCCTGCGGAATACATACACGCAGCAGCCGCAAACACACAAAAGAAACATGCTGCGGCTTTTATGCTGCCGTTCCTTTTATGCTGCCGTTCTTTTTGTGCCAATCGCCTCTCGTTGGTGGGGATGGCGTGATGCTGCTGCGCTGCTGCTGATGCTGATGCTGATGCTGCTGCTGATGCTGCTGCTGCGCTTAGCAACACACTGTGTCCTCTTGTGGCAACGCAAATACAGCGAAAATCCGCAAAACGCCAGCGCAGACGCACCGGACGATCCGGCAGGCATGCATCGTTCAGTTGCAGCAGCAAATCAACAACCACGCCTTCTTCATTGCTGGTACAGCCGCTGCTGCTCCCCAGACACTCCCACAGCCGTGAGGCTATGCGCTGCAGCAGACACAGAAGCAGCAATAAACATGCGCCGAGGGGGGATGCCGCAACAGCCGCCACACATAAGTGACACAGCTCAGTAACCACTCTCCCCCTCCATCCCTCTATCCTCACACCCCTCTATCCCTCCCCAGCAGCTGGCGCAAGATGAGAACTGCAGGAGCAGCCGTAGACGAACCACGCATTGCCCAGTGTTGCAGATGAGGTGCTGCCTGCTGCTGCTGCTGCTGCTGTTGAGAACGCAAACAAACGTTTGCGCTGCTCTACAGCACACAGACAGCCGGGGGGAGGCTGCGCAGTCTAGAAGAGCCAGAATCCACGATGGCAAGCCTCCCACGCTGCTGTTTTTGCTTTCCCCCAGAATGCAGTATTGAATCAGACATTGCACGTCCACCAGAGGTGCCTGCAGCATCCAAACACGCCACACACCACACGTCCGACAGGCAGAGACAGGGAGAAAGATAAAACCTACAGAGAGACAGCGGCACCAGGAAGCGAACAAACTGCGAACCTCCTGGTGAGCTGTGTGCACTGCCCTTCCCCCAGAGCAACACCCGTAAATCCAGCAGCCGCAAACAGCGCAGCAAGGCAAGCAGCGAAAATCCCACCAACATAGAAAATAGCGTGTCTAGAGCAGGCGTCGTTGCCTCCTCTGTTGCCACGAGCTCCAGCAACAAGCACTCAACATGGCAGAAAAACGAATGCAGCCCATGCAGCAGCTCCTCCAGCTGTTGCAGCAGCTGTTGCAGCAACGGCTGTGCCGCATCCTGACAAACTGAAAGCTCTGGAGACGAGGCAGCAGTTTGAGCAGCAGTACAACTCGCACCCCCAGCCGCGGGAACGGAGCATGCTGCTGCGAAGTCTTCTTCAGAATCTCCAGCCTCCGAGGCTTCCAGTCGCTGCGCTGCCGCAGCAGCTGCTTGAAGGCTTTCCTGCGTTACGCGGCGATCTGCAGTCTGCAGAGGGCATGCAGGGGGGGCAGAGAGAGTAGCAGCAGTAGGAGGAGAAGCTTCCATTTGTGCTGCTGTTCTCTCCCCGCCTCCTTCTCCTTCTCGTGGCGTCTCCAGCGAAGCAGCGGCAGAGCGCAGCAACAGCAGCAGCTCCTTATTCTCTCGAAGTGCCCTTAAACGCACGAAGTCTGCTGCCGTCTGCTGCAGCAGCCTCCCCGCCAGCGTGAGCTGGTGGAGAGTGGGAGCGAGCTCGCGGAATCCCACTGCATGCATGCAAAAACGAAAGCAGCGTTCGTGAAGCAGGCAGGCAGACAGGCAGACAGGGATCCCCTGTTTGGGGGCAGCAGCGGGAGCCAACAAAGCCTTTCGCGCGAGTTAGCCACCCCTGTGAAGAGGGAGGAGTTGGTGTTTCGTTGGTGCTGTAGCACCTACCAAGTATGAGCGTGAGGAGCTGGGTGAAACCGTGAAGTGTCTCGACATCGCAGAGGACTGCGGCGTCTGCCGCTCCGCTAGTCGCAGCGGCAGCAAGCGGTGCAGCAATGCGGTCCGCAAACAGCGCAGCTAGCTGCAGCACACCCTCTGCTTCTGCAGCTGCTTGCTGCCGCGCAGCTTGTTGTGCAAGCCAACAATCCGAAGAGGCGGCAGTCTCCCGCCGCTGCTGCTCCGCTTCCAGCTGCTCTTGGAGCACATGTCGCAGCGTGTTGGCTAAAGCTCGCCAGACGACTCCCGGAGGCGTCAGCTTGAAATGAAAAACGTGTTGCGCTTCTTGCAAGCAGGAGACTCCCCAGTCGGCGTTCTTGCTTTCCCTGCGGCAACAGCGCATGCGGGGAGGAAACAACATCCTTGGAGCGCGAGATGGTGGGAAGAGAGCGGCTTTCAAGGATGAAAGCCTTTCAGTCCCTCTCTAAAACTGGAAGAGCAGCAGCCGACTCTAAGGGGCAGAGTGGGTGCAGAATAACCTCAAGATATACTGCAAGACAGGAACAGAGAGATCTGGCATTAGCTGCTCAGCAACCCCCTCCAGTTCATCATCTCCCAAGAAAACTGCCAACGACTTCAACGGCAGCACTGCAGCAGTGCGCGAAGCAGGATATCCAGACACCGAAGTCTTTATGGCCATTAGCAAGTCTGCCTTCGCCTGAGACGCAAACGCGCACTTTTTGCGCACACATACGTAGAGAGAGAGAGACACACACACATACGTATACATGCACACACATACACATACGTGTACCTGTATGTGTGTATATGTGTATATATGCCCTCCACATGCACATTTACACGTACACTGCGTTAGCCAACACTTCTAAAGCTGGTACGACAGCCGCACAGCAACAGCAGAGGACGCCGTTTTCTTGTTGAGGCATTCAAAAGCTAAGACGCATGCAAACGCCATTGCAAAGCAGCCCGTGGCAGCCTCCTTTAATCGATGGGGCAGCCTCCTTTAATCGATGGCAGCGTGCAACAAAGGACGCTTCCTTGCGCTGTGCAGCAGTGCAAAAAAATACTGACACGACCCACGCAGAAGCAGCCGGCGATTCCGCAGCGTAAGGAAGACAGACGTGCGAGCGCAGCTTCAAAGAGGAGACAGCGACTTACGTGGATAGCGAACGCAGTGGTGGGGAAATCCTCAGTTCCTCTGCCCCCCTGGGAAGTTAGCCAACAAACTGCGCGGCGGCTTAAAGACCAATCGCGCAGTGGAAGGAGCCGCAAGACGGACAGTATGAGCCGCACCTACATTCCCACACACATACACATACACCCCCCACACATACACCTACACCCCACATACATACACACACATACACATACACCCCACACACATACACTCACACCCCACATACACATACACTTACATGTACACATACATATACACCCCATATACATACACTTACACCCCACATACACATACACATACATGTACACATACATATACACATACACCCCACACACATACACTTACACATCACACACATACACATACACCCCACACACATACACTTACACGCCACACGCATACATACATACATACACATACACATACATACATACACATACACATACATACATACACATACACCCCACATACATACACTTACACATCACACACATACACATACACCCCACACACATACATACATTACACATACACATACATACATACACATACACATACATGCACATACACATACATACATACACATACACATAAACCCACACGCATACATACACATACACATACACCCCACACACATACACATACACCCCACACACATACACATACACGCCACACACATACACTTACACCCCACACACATACATACATTACACATACATACACATACACATACACATACATACACATACACATACACATACATACACATACACATACACATACATACACATACACATACACCCCACACACACTTGTGCTCACACACAAACACCCCACACATACACCCCACAAACACATACACTCCACACACATTTTCATACACATACACCCCACACACATACACCCCAAGTTGCGAGTCATAAGAGCGTCCGTCGCTTTGCCCCACAACGCAGCTTGCTGGAGGCGCCCCAGACGCCAGCAGCAAGCACACGGTGGGGTTGCAGATAACACACAAAGGACTGCAGACTGCCATACGACTGCGTGCTGTGTCTTCAGCAGCAAGGGACCGTCCAAAAGTCGCAGAAGAGCACAACCAGGAGGCATATCAAAGCAGAAGCAGCAGCAGCAGCAGCAGCAGCAGCCGTCGCATAGCGATCGAGAGCATTTTACTCTTTCTTCCGGGGAAAGGAGACCACACTTAATGGGGAGGTGCTCCAGCAGCAGATCGAGTGCCTCTCTGCACACAAGAGAGCTCTCGTCAGCTAGCGCTGCTTCCAAAGAACTAATGACTAGACGCGGACGGTCAGGCAACACCACTGCGAGGCGTGTCTGAAGCGCAAAGGCGAAAATACGCAGACAATGCACACGTCTCTGGGAGCAAGCTGCGTGAGGCGGCTCCAACAACAAGCTATTAAACCCCTCCAAAGAGGTGCATTGAGCGAGCCGCCGCTGCGATGGACGGCAGCGGCGGTTTGGCATAGATGTCAGTGGTGCTATGCATTCTTCCGACACGAACCGATAGACTCGCCAGCAAAGTGCAGTGCAGCAGCAGCAAAGTGCAGTGCAGCAGCACCAAAGTGCAGACATGCGCTTACGGCGGGTTGCGTTGCAACGGGGGGTGGTCTGAGCATCTTGGCTATTAGTCGGAGAGCTGGAATACGAACTCTCGCTGCTCTAAGGAGAGAATACCATAGAGCAACAGCAAAGGGAGCTAAGCCTACACAATGCTGAAGGCGGTCTGCAGTTGCAACGGCGAAGCCATGGGTTGGTTCTTTTTCTTCCTCCATGCACATCAGGAGAGACACCAGCAGCCCAGAGAGACAAGGTAGCAGTCGCTTGCCTGAAGTCGAGGCAAGCGCAAAGGCAGCAGACTGCACAGCTCTTCTTTTTAGGCGAAAATCCTTTCGCCACTACCACAAAGCCAGCCTCCGCGTGCATGCGAAGGCACCCTATCCCGTAGCTCTGAGGCATTTGCTCGTCTATGGCGCTTGCACACAATCATGCAGAATGCGGAGACATGCATACACGTCCACATTTCCGCTTTCCCCGCCTGCCCCTTGCGCCAGAGGCTGCTTCCCTTCCCCCTTCTGCCGCAGAGACGAGAGAAGAATCTCTCGCGCGGCGGCAGTCAGCAGCTGCCGCGAAAAGGAAGAGCACGGCTCACGAAAAGGCGCAGAACGAGCAGCAGCAGCCACCCCCGCAGACACAGGAGACAGGCAGCGCGATGCGCGTCGTCTGTCAGCGCCTAGAGAGGCGTCTCCGTGCAAGACACAGGAAGGAAGGCACACTCGCTCGCGCACGGCAGAGTTTCTAAACGAAGAGCGCGCGATGTCAAGATACACCGTGAAAAAAAGCGCGCAAGGACGAACCAAGCGGAAGGAAGAAGCCGTCGATAATGTGGAGGTAAAGAGGTCTCAAATGACAAGCAGCATCGGCTGCAAAGGCGAAAAGCCCTCCTGACCACAAAGAGAGATCCTTCCCCAAACCCTCTTGCCCTATGCGTCTCAAGATTGCAGCATAAGCCTCCAGCGCAAGCGCATGCACTCCTGAAGGCAGCTGGGGATTCAGACACTGTAACACAAAACACACATATATAACACATACACACAATACACACACTATACACAATACACAACAAATACACAACATATAACACATACACACAATACACATATGTAACACGTACACACAATACACGTACACACAATACACATATGTAACACATACACACAATACACAACACATACACACAATACACATATATAACACATACACACAATACACATATATAACACATACACACAATACACATATGTAACACGTACACACAATACACATATATAACACATACACACACAATACACACATCGTCAGCGTAGACAAGTGAGCTGTTGCAGTGGACAGATACACGGAAGGCGTCTGCTGCTGATGTTGCTCTGTGGCGAAGAAAGCAACAGCGACAGCAGACCCTCCTGGTAGCACAAGATGCAGCGTCAAGCATCGAGGAGCAGCATACACACATACACACACACAAACAGAGGATTCTTCTCTCGCGCCTTCTTCCGTTCTCAGGCAGAGGCAAGAAGCACCACACAGGCAGCAGCTTCCACAGCTGCCGCTGCAGTGCGACCGCAACAAAAATAAAACAGCCACAACACCAGCAGCTGCTGCTGCCTACTTGAGCAAGGCGCTTAGAGACTGTCAGTCTGTGGGGGATGTAGTGGGCAGTGGGTGCTGCTTGGCGATTCAAAGCCTGCAAAAATGTCGGAAGGCAATGGCGCCAGCAGGGCAAGTGTATATACAGACGGCGAGATCCTTGAAGGGGGGGGCAAACGGCGCGAGGTGTCGGGGATATTGACAGGCAAGGAGGGATGCTGCAAAGGAACGCCTCTTGCAGTTTAGACAGAGGCAAGCAAAAAGCAGTGCGAAATACACGCAAAACGCCTATTAGGGGGCCTAACAAAAGGCGTTGTTGTTAAGGGATTCAGACAGCAGACGCAGAGATGGCTAGATGCGCCTGTGCATTCCTCTGCTTTTTTTTGAAAATAATACATGTATACTTATAACACATATAATACATATAATACATGTATATATAGGCATATATATTTGGTAGGTCTTGCCTTGAGAAGCCTTTGAAGACAGCTGCCCAGGTCAGCCCATTCTTTTGCTCTATCGAAGGCGTGCAGCACCGAAGAAATTTCGGCAGCGAAGCGACGAGCTTCTGTGCCTGCGGAGGGCAGAGGAGGGGAGAAGGGGGAGGGGGAAGGTGGGCGAAAGATGCAAGCAGAAAGGAATGAAAAAGCGAGCGCGAAGCGACGCAGGAGAGTCGCTACAGCTTCCTGCCTCTGAATCAACGCTAGAAGAAGAAAACGCCACGCCGGCGATTACGGGAGGCGCATGTGGACTTAAAGATGCGAAAAAGCATAGAGACTAACACACAGGCAGACAAAGAGACAGACAGACAGACAGAGAGAAAGTGAGACAGAGTTCACTGTATGTACACCAGAGGCTCTGGAGGACGGGCAGAGGGGCGGCACCGCAGGCAGTAAGGGCCTTACTCACGCACACACACGAAGCGAGCGAGAAGAAAAAGGTCGCTGATTGCTCAAAGCAGAGTCTGGATAGGGGAGGGAGAGAAAAAGAACGAGAGAAAGATGAAGAGCGAGCAAGCGAGAGAGAGAGAGACAGAGAGTTGCCATCGCTAGGGAGGCTGTTACGAGGTACGGCATAGACAGCCAGCCATGAAGCCGCAGGTGTTGTGTGTAAGACTTCGTCCTCGAGGTATGTATATATATACATATTTGTATACATTTGTGTATGTATGTACATCTGTATATATACATGTGTGTATATGTGTGTATATGTGTGTATTGTGTGTGACTTACCATCCTCCCCGGCTCCTCCTGAACTAAGGGGCACTATCATTTTGTGTAGAAGCGCCTTAGCCGTGTGATGGAGTGGTGTGTCTGTTGTGAAAGGTGTTCGCGGCACTAGTGCTTCTTTTGCCGTTAGTGCCCCTGCTGCCGTCGATCCTACAGGCGCGTCCAGCACTTCTCTGGCTGCTGCTTATTGCGCCCATTCCACTGTATGTACGGCGATCCCCCCACTGCCACCGCTGCCGCAGCAGCAGCAGCAGCAGCAACAGTGCGCCTAGGCAAGTCGCAAGAGAAGAGAAAGCTGGAGTTTTACCCCTCCCTTGCAGCGCGCTGGTGCCGCCCGTCCCTATTGCTCGACGTATTGTGAGTTTGCTCCCCGTTGTGGCGTCGACAGTCGAGGACAGGGGAGGCTCACATGTCGTCGCTGCTGCGCATAGGCTGCTGAAATGCAGCGGCAGCGGCAGCGGCTGCGGCAGCGAGCGAGCTATCCTGCTCTGTTTCTCGTGGCTGGACACCTCTGCAGCTGGTTAAACGCGTTTGTGTTTTCTGCAGAATTGCATTTTGAATTCATCTCGGAGGCGTCGCCAGAGAGTCTGCAGTCTCCTTGCCGAGTTGGGGCCCCTCCAGCGGGGGCCCCCTCTAGCAGGGGCATTGAATGGCACCCCTCTGGCTGCAGCAGCAGCACAGGGGTGTGGCAGTATTCTGGCTGTTTTTGTGTCGAGATTTGCGACACTTCTCCTAAAACACTGAATTTGCAACTTCCTGACTGCCACGCAGCGAATGACAGGCGCATTCCATGAGCTAACCAACTGCCACGCGCGCGTCCTCTAGCGAGTCGTTGTGGCGCTTGCAGGTGTTGCCTTCGTGCGGTGCTGCCGCTCTGGACAGTTACGAACTGCCCCTCTGGCATTAAATTACGCAACTCGAGGTAATTCTTCCGCAAAGCCTCCTGAATCCTGTGACGGGGAAGCCTCTGACAGCTTCACGCCGCGGCAAGTGGTGGGAGGAGTGGCAGTGGCGAACGGAAGGGTGGTGCGCTGTCTGTACACCTGCTCATGGCGCTTCCCCAGAGGGCCCCTTCTGCGCCCCTTGCAGCAGCCTCTGAAGCAGCAGCTTCTGCAGCTTCACTGCGCGGGGAGGAAGACGAAGAGGAGGAGCGATGCTCTCCCCTTGTTGCCGCAGGAGTCTGCGTCTCCCCAGCAGCGGCTCCTCCCTCCGCCGAAGGGCAGGAAGACGAGGCGTTCGATGGCGCCGCTTCTGTGTCTTCGACAGAGGAGCTGGGGAGACAGCTGCGCCCTCCCGGGTACGACGGTGATTGCCTCGAGTGTCGCCAGCACGTGCTGTCTGTGCTTGGCGTGCTGGTGAGAGCCTTAGGCCCTCAGCGACGTCCTTCTTCGGGGAGTGCGGCTGTTTCTGCTGCAGTTGCACCCCGGCAGGTGTCTTCCGAGGCTTGCGGAAAGGGAGCTCCAAGCGAAGGAGCGACTGCAGCAGCGACTGCAGCAGGCAGCGTAGAAGCAGAGGCAGCTTTCTCAGTTTTTGCGGATGCCCACTTGCAGGGGACTGGCGAAAGGGCGCATGCGCATGCAGAGGTGCCTTCTGGTGCAGAAGAAGACGCAGCACCCCTATCGCTAGTGGAGCTGCAACTCCTCATGGCTGCAGCGGGGGATGCAGTGCAGGCAGAGGCTTTGCTGCGTCGGAACGCGGCAGAGCTGCTGCTGCTGCTCATGCAGCACTGGATTTTACCCGCGACTGAATATCTAGGATCTGCCGCGGGAGTTCAAAAACTCGATGGGAGCTCCGCCTCCTTTGTTGCCGCTCGACGCACGGAAGCGGTCTGTCGAGCGGCTGGCATATCCGTCTCCGTCCTGACAGAGCACTTGCTTGGAGCCGCTGCAAATCTCGTTTCTGCAGAGCCTGATGCTGACGATCCTGAGGGAGCTGCCGCAGCGGAGGCTTTGGAAGCAGCGCTGCCACTGGCTGCTGAAGTCTTTGCCTTGGCCCTTCTGGTGTGTACCGACGCTGGTTCTTTGAGAGAGGCTTTTCGCGGCATAGCGGCGTCTCTAGGCTTTCGCCACGAGCAACGGCAGCAGCTGTCGCTACAGCAGCAGGTGCAGCTCGCGCGAAAGAAGCGTCTGCTTCTCGTGCGACTAGCGCCGACGGAAGAAGCCGCGCAGGAGCTGCTCTCGAGCTGTCTCTACGTGGTGAGGCAAGCGTTGCATGCGCCGCTGTTGCGCATGGCTGCTCACTGCCTCTCTCTCCTCCTCGCTCTAGAAGACTTCGACATGGGCGCCACTGCGGGAGTAGCTGCCGCTGCAGAATCAGCAGCACGCTTCCGAAAGCGCTCCAGCGGGGAAGCCGCGACTGCTGCTGCTGCTCCCGCCACGCCTGTCGAGAGCAGAGTAGAGGAAATCTTGGGGGCGACTCCCCCCCTCGTGCAGCTCTTGCGGCGGAAGCCTCAACGAAGGCTTCTTCTGCTCGTTTCCGTCGAGAGAGCCGCAGAGCTGCTGCGCCTTCCTGGCCTGCCTGACACAGCCTCAACTCCCTCCATGGATCTCTCCGTTCCAGCCAGAAGGCGAGCCGCAGTCTTCATGCAGCTGCTGCAGCAGCAAATGCGGGAGCAGCCACTCCTCGACGAGGAACAGAGCACTGCCCTCTCTGCCCTCGTGCTGCTATCCGCAGACTTGCTGAAACGCGACCCCCTGCTGCTCCTGCAAAGGCTCCCCAACGGGCTTCCCAAGCCGCTGATCACTGCGGAAATGCTGATCCAAATAGGCTGCTGCAGCTGCATGTGCTGTGGCGATGACAGGGCACTGGAAGCGGCGCTTCTGCTGCTTCTCGCGGTGGAAAAAAACGGCGAAAATGCAGGAACCAAGGCGGATGAGGGAGGCGACATCGACGATCCCCTGGCAATTTTTGACAACGACGGCGAGGCTTCCCCCCTTCTCACAGGCACGCAGCCATCCGAAGGAAACTCTGAAGGCAGCAGGACGGAAGGGCACAAACCGGAGAAGCGCGAGGCAGCCAGCCGCTCTGCTCCTGGTTCAGAAAATACCAGCAGCAAAGACAGCAGCACTGTAAAGCACATGCAAGATATGGCTGCCTATGTTCGCGGTGCAATAGCTGCGTATTGCCAGGAACTATTAGAGGCGCCCGTGGGAGCTGATGTCATCGAGCGTACAATGCTGCTGCTGCAAGAGGAACCTGAATACTGCACTGAGCATGAGCGAGGAGCATCCGTTCTGCTGCTCTTGCAGCATGCTAAAAGCAGCCAAATCGAAATATATAAGACGGAAGTCCAAAGCCTCATGAGATCGCTCAAGAATAAGCAGTTTTAGCACTGGCCTAAGCAGAAACTTGAACTCTCGTATTCGCTTCGACTGTACGAACACTGGCGATCATCAGCGGCAGCAATATGAACACTCCCCGTGAGCCGCAATATTTGTACAGCCATTTTCAGCAGCGGCAGTAGGAACGCTGCCCATCAGTGGCTGTATTGTGAATACAGCCATTATCAGCGGCAAGCATGAGCACTGGCCATGAGCTGCAGCAGTGTGTGCCCAGTCATAAGCGGTAGTAGATTATGCACACCGTCGATCGTCAGTTGCAGCAACATGAATTATTTTTTATCAGCAGCGGCAGCAATGTGAACACTGGCCATTAGCGGCACCTTCATGAACAGTGGCCATTGGCAGCGCCAGCCATGTGAACGGATCCATCACCACCAGCAGCAGCATGAATACAGCCAACAGCAGCGGCAAGATGAAAGCGGCCATAATTAGCGGCAATACGAACACTGGCTATTAGCGGCAGCAGCTTCAACACAGCCATCAGCACTAGCCGTACGAAAAATCAGCCTTTAGGAACCGCAGCCATAGGAAAATAGCCAAGTTTAGCGGCTAAGTGAACAGCGGCCGAAATAAGCGGCAGCACTACGAGCACTGGCTGGGGGAGGCAGCAACTTGTGCGCTATTGGCGCAATCCGCGGAGCAGAATTTGGAAATCTTCGTGGTGTTTGTTGCACAAAGTACAAGTGGCGGGGTCCGTAAGCCTCCGCAGTGAGCCTACCCTTGTGTGTGTGTAGGCATTTTGAGGCTGCAGCTGGTTAGACTGCTACTTTTGGACTAAGTAAATCTGGAGCACATATCATTGAGACACTGTGTTTCGCGGAGAAGTCGGAACAATGCTATTCACGGAAGCAGCGAGACGGAAGTCTTTAAGAGTCAGGCCGCCTGCATCGTGCGTCGTGAGCTGTAGCGACACACGAGAGTAGCAACTGAAGATTTCTGGGTGGTGCGCCGCTGCCTCAGATAGCAGCGCCACGCTTGACAAGAACCCCCACGCCTGCGCAAATTCCAGCAGAAGCACCAACAGCAGCAAAATCGAGCAGCATCCCTGACTGCCTCCGGATCACTGCTGCTGCACTCAATTGATGCTGCTGGCCCCTAGTAACGCCGAAACTCCTGCCACAGTAGCAGTGGCAAGTGGCCCAGCAATGCAGTACTCCGCAGTTGCTGCACACTGTGTTAGCTTCTCCCTGTTGGCTTGCTCGTTACCTTCCCCCGCACTATTGGCAGGATAACGGCTTCGCGTAAAGGGATACTAACCAACCGGCAGGCAGAAAAGGCACATTGACAAACGTAAATGCACTGTACACTTAGTTTTAGCGATTTAGGGTCTAGACTGCAATGATTACTTCGACAAAGTCTCGAAACTGGAATTCACGGCGGATGGCCTTTCCCCCTTCACAGACCTTCCACTGCGGAACCTGCTTCAAGTGCTGTTGCACCTGATGCACTTGAAGCAGCTGTGGTGTTTGTGGATGTTGCTGCGCGGTCGTTGTTGAAGTAATCTCTCTCCCTGCCGAGAGGGCGGCCCCTGATCCAGCTACCAGAGCCGCAGTGTAGGGCAAGGGTAAGCCCGCAAAAAGCCGCTGGAGGACCCTCATTGAGATTTGGAAAGCTGAAACACGCAACAAAAGAGGGCTTCCTGTGTGCTTGAGTGCTTAGCTCGTCGCGCTCCCGGGGCCTGCGGTGTCTAGACAGCTCAGTCGTCTCGGGAGGGTCCACTGCCAGCGCCGAGCATTGCTTCCCCCCTTGAAATCGTGTCTTTGCAACAGCGTTATTTTCATATGCAGTGATATATATATATATATATATTTCGGCGGCTGCAGAAAAAGCAACTCTCTCTCAGCTTCCCGTCTGCCGCCTTCGTCTCAGTAACTCCGTGCGAAACCCTGGGGCCCCCTGAGGAGATGCAACTGGGGCCCCCAGGAACGCCACATGAGAGAACTCCTGAGGCGGAATGCGTATTTTTGAGTCTTGTTTTGAGTGTCGACGCATGTTTGCGACTTCTGGTGTGTACAAGGGAGTATGACTTCGGCTGCCCAGGTCCCCTCGTACGACGAGGGTCCCTGGAAAGCCCTCCTTAGTATTATAAGGCAGCTCCGCCACACACACAAACACACACACCTTCGTGGCAGGCACTGCACTAATGTGACAGAAGTCTGCATGCACACATTTGGCGAACAACTCACTTGGGTGGCATCCAGGTGGATGCTTGAGGTAGACGCACTCCTCAGGGAGTGCGCAGGCCCCTAATAATAAATCCAGGAACCCCGAAAAGGGGTAGCAACTGTCAGCACGTCGCTTCGAACACCAGGGGTGCTGCACTGTCTCCTCCCCTGAATAAACGAAGGGGAGAGCGCGAAGAAGCGCACTACATGGTTTTGTGACTACGTGGACTCTTGTAGGGTCACTTGAAATATGCAAGCCTATCGAAGCCTGGAAGGAAAATTTGAACATGTTCCTTAGAATTCTCGTATCCTTGCACCACAGTGTTTGGGCGCAAATGCCAGAAAGGGGTGCTTTGAGGGCACGGCTTGCTGCATCTTCGAAACACGCATCTGCAGGGTGCGGTAGTACACTCACCGATTCACAGACCGAAAGCTCAGGATACAGAGGTTGGGCGTGCAAGCTGGAGCGTGAATTGTCATCGAATAATCGTAAATCGCGAGAAAAAATGCTATCGTAGCCAGGAGTACACCAGAAAAGGCTAGCAGTCTGCATAGATCCGTCTTCTTCACCAATGGTGAAAAGCCCCTGCATGCTGGTGGCTCTCCGTGCGTGCACTACCCGTGCAGCTGCCGAGGGATAAGCAGACAAGGAGAGCCATCAGCATGCACGGCTTTGACAGAAAGGCGCAGCTCTGCGATAGAAAAGAAAAACACGTATGCGCTTCAAATAGGGTTTTAGGGGTGGCCTTCTATACTTGGTGTCTGCAGTCAGGGTGCCACTCAGAGCGCGATATGGAACCGGCAAAGCCTTCTAAGGAGAGAAGCTCGCTTGACAGCGGCTGTACTCGCCTTTGAAACCCAGACTTTTGTCCGTAGAAAGGCACTAGGCGGAGAGCTTCGGGTTAGAAAAAATTCCCTTGGCCGTTTTAATACTTGATGTTTTTAAAAGAAAGTTAGCGAACTACGCTAGACATCTGCAGTATCTACGGCCCCCCTCATAGTTCCTTAACGCAGAGACAGACCCTTTGGTCTGGCGTTGTTCGTGTATCTTTTTGTGGAATAACTCATTACTCATGATACGGCCAGCGTCAGTGTTTGTGCCTGTGTGCTAGACGCTGCATGCAGCGAGCTGTGGATACCTCGAAGTGCTTAGAGGGTGTGGCAGGCAGCCGGAGAGAGCCCTTCTCAAAGAGGCTCGAAAAGCCTTTAATTATCTTTTTCTTAAGCCTGGAATCAAGTTTTTCTCCCCGAAGATCATAAACGGAGAGTCACATCGTGTAGATGAGCAAATCGCAAGAGCCGAATGCAGCCGCACAGCCAGCCGGTGAAAAGGCGCTAAAAGCCACATAGTTCTGTGCTGTGCCTTCGTTGTGACAAATGCTAGAAAGGCCCCTCTTGCCACGGCATCCACAAGCTCTTTCCCTCTGTATTACGGGCAGGCGTCGTCTCCCTGCCAGAAAATAACACCCCAAAGTGCCGCTCCTTGGTTTTTCTCCTCCCTCGCAGAGCTGCGCCACAGACTCTTAGCCTGGCACGATTCTCTCAGACTCCCTAAGCTTCCCTGTAAAACGCAGCGCACTCAGGACAGATACTGCACCAAGAAAGCAGCATGTCAGGCCCCTTCAAAAGATTTCCCGACGAGCGATGATTCTCTGCACGGAATTCAGTGGGGGGAGTTCTCCCCAGGATACGTCTCGTGGGGGGAGTCTCTTCAGACGTCATATTCGAAGCACGCGCCTCCGCTGAGCACCTCGATGGAGACTCCTTCCCGTAGGAAATGCTGCAAGCTGCTCCTGCTAGAGCCAGCTCCCGTGTGTAGGAGAGAGGAATGGCTCTGGCTGCCTGGCGCTCTGCAGCAATCTTCCGAAGAAGGCGCTCCTGCTGCAGCGCCAGCTGCCTGTGCTTTGCCGCCGCTGTATCGAAGGAATCGACTCGCCGCTCTTGCTGCCGTTGCTGCTCCTTCTTTTGCGCATGCGCCTGCTTGCTTCCAGCGGAAGCCATCCGCCGATCATCCTCCTCTTTCAAGAACCCCTGGACGCCTCTCAGCTCTGCTGGTATCACAGCTTCTGCTGTTTCGATTGTAGCGGCTCCTGAACTGCCAGCTCTTGCACGCAGCGCGAATCCGTCGGCGGTAGCTGCGAAACGCAGCGTTGCGGGGGGTGTCTGTGCACTGGGAGAACTTCTCCGCCGCTGAGCATTGCAGTAAGAGGAGGCAGCGAGAACCTCCCCCCGAGACGGTTCCGTTGCAGCGGCAGCAGCAACAGCGGCAGCTGCGTAAGCCTCTGGAGCTTCTCTGGTGCTGCGCGTTTGATCCAGCGAGGGAAAGAATGACGACTCCGAGGAAGTCGGCAAGGAGGACGCGCTAAAAGGCGTTAGCCTTGAGCGGAGTCTGCTGCTGCTTCGAAGACGGCTATAGCTTTGAATAACGAATCGCCTCCACGAAGGATGTTGCTGCTGCTGCTGCTGCTGGTGGTTGCTGTTGTTGTGTGGAGGAGGATAATGTTGCTGCTGCTGCTGGTGGTGGTTGCTGTTGTTGTGTGGAGGAGGATAATGTTGTTGCTGCTGCTGGTGGTTGTTGTTGTTGTTGTTGTTGTGTGGAGGAGGATAATGTTGGTGCTGCTGCTGGTGGTGGTGGTGGTTGCTGTTGTTGTGTGCAGGAGGATAATGTTGTTGCTGCTGCTGCTGCTGGTTGTTGTTGCTGTTGTTGTGTGCAGGAGGATAATGTTGGTGCTGCTGCTGGTGGTGGTGGTTGTTGCTGTTGTTGTGTGCAGGAGGATAATGTTGTTGCTGCTGCTGCATGGAGGCAGACCGTAGCCTCCCCCAGAAGCCTTGAAAGCTTCGCCTCCTCCTTTGCACCATCCCCCTTGCAGATGCAGAGCCACTAGCCGTTGCCATGCCTCCTGCTGCAGTTGAAGCTTCGGAGCCGCAGGCTTGCTCTTGCGGCAATCGTTCCTCTTGCTGCTGTTGTTGCGACGGATCTGTTCCTCCAGGCAGTATTGCTTGCTTGGGAGGAGAGTGTGGGGAAGCCTGTGCAGCGACGTCTTGAGGCTTTCGTGGTGCGCAAAGCCTTGCTAAAGCTGCCGTGTGCTGGAGGAAAGGCTTTGACGCATTCCCTGTCTGTTCTATGAGGCTGACCACCCCTGCCTGAAGCAATCAAGCACTCGCACTTGGCGAACAGAGGAAGCGTTGCCGACACGCATCGCGCCTGCCCACCACCGTCTGCAGTATATCAACGGCAGACTCTTGAGGGTGTTCTCACCTTAGATTCTTGGGGTATAATGGCGGGGGAGGTAGAGGCTGAGGCGAGCAGCAGAGGAGGCTCTCCCGCAGCTGGCTCTGGCAGTCTGAGCAGCAGACACTGGTGCTGAAGCAGCTGCTCTCTCTGATCCGACAGCGCTGGCAGGCGAGGTGTTGGAAGCCATAAAATACAGCTCGAACAGATAGGCAGAGAGCAGCTCCTGCAAAGCGAGAAGTCAGACATATCGAAAGCTCGAAGAGTTCTCAGTTGCATTGGTGAAGAATTCTAAGCTCTTCTCCGCGTGGCTGCTGCTCTTAAAGTGTAGGTCTATACAGCGTATCACCGACACAGCCTTACCAGCAGCTGAAAGATTGCTTCCCTGAAGCGGAGGAGATCGTGGCATCTTCTACGTCGGCTTCTCGCGACCACTTAGTGTGGGGCACTTGATTCCCTTGAGAAGGCTGCTGGAGAGCGGTGATATCGCTGTTTCTTCTGAGCGTCTGCAGTCGTTGCATTCCCATGGGTGTGTCGCAACGCCAGCAGCGCGAGACTTCTGGAAGTGTGCCTACTGCGGGAGGAAAGCCTTTGCTGAACTTCTGGGGAAGTTCATTCGCATGCGCTTGTTGCACAGGAGAAAAAGAAGAGGGTGACGACGTCAGCAACAGAGCAGCCACCCCTGAGACTGCTGAGGCTGCTGCTCCTCCTGAGACTGCTGAGACTGCTGCTCCTCCTGAGACTGCTGAGGCTGCTGCTCCTCCTGAGACTGCTGAGGCTGCTGAGGCTGCTGCTCCTCTTGAGACTGCTGAGGCTGCTGAGGCTGCTGCTCCTCCTGAGACTGCTGAGACTGCTGCTCCTCCTGAGACTGCAGCAGGCAGCAGCTGCAGTCCTTCCATCGTTTGTTGCAGATGTGTCTCGAAGGCAACCAAGAGAGTCTCTGCCTTCCACGCGCCTGCAGCACAAAAACAATTCACAAGAAGGAGGATGCAGGAGAGGAATCCACGGCACCCAGAAGGTTCTGCGCAGACGCGTCTCGAGTTGGAGAAGGATGATGCATGTGCGACTTGCCTCGACTGCGTTCTGGTTTGGTGGATCCGGCTAAAATACATTTGAGCAGTAGATAAACGCGGCTCTTTAACAAGTCTAACAGCTCCTCCATCATGGCCTCTTTCGCCTGTACACCTTGCAGCTCCTCCCTTCTTCCGGCAGGAGCAGCCTGAGAGACGTCGAACTTGTGCATCCGAGAAGGAGACTGTGGAAAAATCCAAAGACGCTGCGGCTGCAGATTGCCTTCTGGCTTCCCTTGTGTCTCTGCATGCTGCGGAGGACGCTGCGGCTCGTCTAGCTGCTGCGACGCTTCTTCGAGATACACTGCCAAAGGGAACCCTCCCAAAATCGCAGATCTCCACAGCTGCGTAGACAATCTCGCTGCTCTCCGTGCAGCTCTCGTACTGCCAAGCGGCTCAGGCAAGACGGCTGCTGCTGAACGTGTTTCTCCCCCGTTGCCTTCATCTCCTGCTGCTGCTGGACGTGTTTCTCCCCCGTCGCCTTCATCTCCTGCTGCTGCCTCTGCGGATGCTGCCTGCGACTGCGCGACTTTATCAGCTGTTGACGCAGAAGAGGGAGGGGCCATAGTCGCAGACGCAGCTGCCTTCTCAGCTGCAGCTGCTGCTGCTGCTGCAGCTGCTGCCTGCCTACTCATTAGCAGCACCAGAGCAGCCTGCATCAAAGTCCACCCATCTGCAACCCCACTCTTCACAAGCAGCGAAACTCCCCGCGCATCTTCTGCAGCCATAGTATGCAGCAGCAGCTGGAGCCGCAATAGCAGCAGTTCAGCCTCTGCTGCAGAGCATGCACGCGGGTAACACTGCTGCTGTTGCTGTTGCTGCTGCTGCTGCTGCTGCTGCTGCTGCTGCTGCTTCTTTTGAGCCCAAGGAATAAGAAAGCAGCAAGGGCCGTCAGCTTGACCTTTCCTAGCGCCTTTTCTGAAGGTACTGGCATTGCTGCTGATGGCATTGCTGCTGATGGCATTGCTGCTGATGGCATTGCTGCTGATGGCATTGCTGCTGATGGCATTGCTGCTGATGGCATTGCTGCTGCTGCTGCTGCATGCACAGGATGGCATCAAGGCCTTAAAATAGAGAAGATGCAGCAGTGTCTCGTATTTTTTTTGCATCAGAGAGACGCGAGCGCAGCGTAGCAAAGCACGCAGCTGCACAATCCGCCTCGCATCGCAGAGCAACACAAGAAGCTATTTTTGCAAGCTCCAAAGTTCAGGAGAAGTGCTGAGGGGGGGGGCGGAAAGGGGTGTCTACTGTACATACATACGTATACATACATACGTATACATACATACGTATACATACATACGTATACATACATACGTATACATACATACGTATACATACATACGTATACATACATACATGTATATATACCGGATAGAGGATGCTACTACGTTCTCCAGAGAGCAGACCGTGAGCAAGCAGTCTGAGAAACTTGGCAACATAGTCTTTTACTCTTAGGCGAGAAACAAATGGTCAAGGAGGGGGCAAGCGGGGTGCACAACACCTCAGAAGCCTTGTATCCTTGTGATAGCATATCTGGATGCTCTGACTTGGACGTCTGCCAGCAGACGGGGAAGCAGCACTTCTTGTTGGCGCTGCGAATCGCACTGATGTGCTTGCAGCTGCGGCAATGAAGCAGCAGCTGCTTCAGCAGTTCACTGCTCTCCTCGCGTTGTACTACCACAAGCAGAGGGAACAGCCCACTGTTGTCGGATCGCAACAAAATCTGCTGGCGAACAGCTTCTGAAGTACAGCAGCAGCACCAGCACGCCCCTTTGCTGCCTCCTCCGACCTGCTGCTGCCTGTGCAGCTCTTGCTGCTGTTGCATTCGTGTCACTGCAAAGCAGCGCAATAACCAGCCGACCAGCTCGCTGCTGGAGCTGCTGCTGGAGGAGGAGGTGTTGATCGAACTGAAACCTCGCAGTCGACGCTGCAACAGAAAAGCATCAGCGAAGGCAACCTCAACGAGGCACAGCGTAGCACAGCATGCCACAGCAACTCCTTGAGACCAAGGGATGAGGCTTTTTTCACATGCACATCTCCAGAAAGGCGAACGCCTTCATGCGTCATTCTTCAGCCTTACATCGGGGAAAAGAGCACCCTTGCACACAGCAAGGAGCAGTGTACTTCCTGTTAAACCATCTCGCTGCTGCAGCGCTTGCATGCGGTCCGCTGCAGCAGTCCAAAGGATGCACAGGCAGCACTAAAGCTGCTGTCGCTACACCAAATCCCTTGGACGAGAGAGAGAGAGAAAGAAAAAAGAGAGCGTCACGCTTGCTTCCCCAATGCCAGACTGCTTATGTCTGTACTGCATGAGTGATAACGGCCCCTCGTACACAGCAGCCAGCACATCCCCCGCTGCGAGCAAAACGGATTGCCTTCTCACTCAAATTCAAGGAGGAGAGGAGGCAGCGGCAGACGGCTTCATCTGCATGCGCTGCAGCAGCAAATAGCAACGTCCCTTGAAGCCAGCCGCGCTGTTGCAGCAGGCACAGATCTTTTTCGAGGAGCTCTGTGGTGTCTGCGACTTCTTTTGTAGCGGCGACAGTCTCAGTGGGAGTTGCAGCAAAGAAGGCTGCGCAATCCTTCGCGAGAGACCTTCTTTCCCACGAATTTCGACGGCTGCTGCTGGTGCTGCTGCTGCTGCTAAGGCTGCTACTGCTGCTGCTAAGGCTGCTGCTAAGGCTGCTGCTAAGGCTGCTGCTAAGGCTGCTACTGTTGCTGCTAAGGCTGCTGCTAAGGCTGCTGCTGTTGCGCGTCGTAATAGGCTCATTTGAACGCGTCATTGCCGCAGACAGTGCCTCTGCTGCTGAAGCGTTGCGCATGCAGGCAGCAGCAGCACCGCCACACAGCGGCAGCAACGCTGCTGCAAGATAAGGCAGTCTCGCAGCAAGACGAATAGGCAGGAGCGCAGCGGCAGCTGCTGGATAGCGAGGATGCTCCAACAAGGCGAATAAGCGACATGGGGGTCCACCTACAGCAGCCGCTGCTGCAACGCGCAGAGCCTGTAGCAAGAGCACGCCTTTAGCCGCTGCCTCGCTGCTCTTGCCGCTGCTGCTGAAGACAGATCTCTCGATGAGATCCAGATCAGCAGCTGCTGCAGCTGCAGCCATCGCTGCGAGGCTAAGTGGCCGCAAGAGGCCAACTGCGGCAAATGCAGCAGCCTCAACGGCGTCTGTAGGGTAGAGCAGCGCGCTTCGACTCCGCCTGCAGAGAGCGCAGCAGCATCCGAGCAACCCAGGAACGCACGTAGCCAGTCTGCAGAAATGCAGCAAGTGCCGACGCCAGTGGAAACGCAGCAGCAGCAGCGCCACGCTTCACAGAGCTGTTCAAAGGAGAAGGATCAGACTTTAGACAAGCACTTTTTCAGCTCGAATGCTTGCATACTTGACACTGAGCTTTGCGGGTGCCTCTGGGGAAGCCTCTTTCCAAGACTTTTTGACTCGCATCTCGTGTCTCTGCTCTTCCTGCCGCCTTTGGATTGCAGTCTTGCGGTGCTCTTGATGCAGCAACCTCGCAGAAGCTTCCTGCTCACAGGAGTCTCCTTGCTGACAGCCATACATCGCAACCCAGCCGCCACGCTTGCTTCTCCTGTGGCGTCTGCCGCTGTTGTATGTGCTGCTGCTGCTGTCGCTGCTGCTGCTGCTGCTGCATGCGCATAACATCTGCCACGTGCTTTGATCCTGCGATTGCCGCAGCAGCAGCTGAGTGCAGTGCAGCATAATTCCTCTAGCCACATGTGCTGGCATGCGCATATGCACGGAGGTGGCATTCGGGGAGCAACCGAGGCTCAGTAATTGCTGCAAGCATCTGCTATCGCCACGATACGCTGCAGCCGCAACGCTAACGCAAATAAAAGGGTCACCTCCTGCTCTGAAGGCAAGCGAAGGGATTGTTCGTTCGCAAAATCCCATCCACGAGCAGTTCTCCAAACCCAATAACCCCCTATGTTCCCTATCGTGCCAAGCTCCAAGACTCCCCACCCTTCCGAAGCCGCTGCAGAGGAAGAGGGAGAGACAGAGAGAGAGAGAGAGAGAGACAGAGAGAGAGACAGAGACAGAGACAGAGACAGAGAGAGACAGAGAAAGACAGAGAGAGACAGAGAGACAGAGAGACAGAG